AAAACACGATAACCATTGGTCAAATTGAAAACACAGATACTAAATTGGCTAAATAGCTATAACATAGGGACAATTTTGACATTTAAGCCTTGATTAAATTGATAAGTTTTTCTATCAATGTGGCTTAGACACTGCCCATAAAAGGATCTTATGCTCATGATGTCATTAATTTAATGAAGGATCAAACAATCAATCTAGCCAAAGCATACTAGATGCAATTTCAATACTTTATAATGAAAATGAGAAAATTAGAACTTCGTAACACTTTTAAAAATCACCCCAGATCTCAATGATGTAAAATATAATTAGCCCTGAAAACAAAAAAGCATAAATCATGCATTCCTCCAATTTAAATTTTAAATGTTGACTATTCATAAGTAAATCCAGATTACCACCATAATATTTCTTGTTTTCCCCCAAATTGAATTGCTTAATCATTATGTTTAATAATTATGGCTTTTGGCTAGAAGTCAAAGTGCTTATGAAAAAAGCCTTTTTGGTCTATGGCTGCATGCGACCTGCATGAAGATATTGGGATTGTAACTTTCGTGTTCTGCTAATCAGGTGTGTCTAGCTCTGGAAACAAAAGTGTTAAACCACTAGCAAAAGCTATCATGCACTTTTCCTCTTTAATTTTTTCACTCGAGAAAGAGTGCATGATTACTATTTTGAAGTGTAAATAATAGCTCCCGGCAATAAGTATGCATACAAGACTTCCTAACTCTGTCAAACATCACAATATTGTACATTCGTCACATAACACAACGGTTAGCTTAGAATAAGAATCAGAATACAATTGAATTGATATGTGTAGGCATTTACCAGTAATCCTTGCAAGAGCATAAACCATTTCGATGTGGTGGAAGCGCTTCCGATCCCTGACAACAATCTTGCGTTTATAAATTTTCGAGATCAACTTTATCGAAGAGTGACAATCTTCGCATATGCGTAGGTTCTTAAAAATTTGAAGACTGGTTCGAGGGGCTGTACTGATTAAGCCGAAGGACAGTTGCAATCTTTTCGCTATGGTAATGTAATGCACTTTGTTTTTCTTCTTCATCCATGTTGAGCAACACTTGTGTGGTGTTAGGTCTATGGACTTCCAAGCTCAATTTTTCGGAAATTTCCTCCAACATTGAATGGATTTCTCCGGCTCTAGCATGGGATTCGTCTTCCACCACAAACTCGTGAATTGCTCCATCAAGCTCAATCGAGCTACCTCTAGGATCTTTCCTAATGTCCATATCTTTCATCCGCAATCTCACATTTGCAACTGCCTCCCAATTTCCTAAAGAGGCATACATGTTTGAGAGAGCAATGTAGGATCCGCTATCATGAGGAGCCAAGTCCATCAAAATCTCTGCCACACGTTTTGCCCATCTCGATGTTCCCTTGCATCTTGCAAGCACCGAGCAAGGCCTTCCATGTGACATCATCCGGCTGAATTGGCATGTTTAATATAAGCTCTTCAGCTTCTTCTAACAATCCGGCACGACCTAATAAATCAACCATACAACCATAATGTTCAACTCTAGGTTCTAAGCCAATTACATTAATCATATGGATGAAGAATGCTCTTCCCTTCTCCACCAAACCGGCATGGCTACAAGCACTCAAGATACCAATATTTGTTACATCACTAGGCACCACACCAGCTCGTTCCATCTTGGAAAAATAATCCAGTGCATCATCAACTCGACTGTGCATAGCAAGCCCACTGATTATGGCATTCCAAGTAATCACATTCCCTTTAGACAGTTGCTTAAAAACTCGAAGAGCGTCCTCAATGCTCCCACACTTACAATACATATCAACCAAAGCAGAACCAAGCACATCATCAATCCCAATTCCATTCTTATCGGCATACAAATGCATCCACTTCCCTAGTTCAAGTGCACCAAGCCGTGATATCGCAGGCAAGACACTAACCAAAGTCACATAATTTGGACACACATTCCCAATCTGCACATCCCGGAACATTTCCACAGCCTCCTTAAAAAGCCCGTGTTGTGTGTACCCAGATATCATCGCATTCCACGACACCACACTTCTCTGAGGAATTTTATCAAACAGCTCCCTGGCAGCTCTAAAATCCCCAAGTCTTACACACCCATCAACAATCACATTCCACAAAACTACATTGCCCTCTTGCTTCCTTCCATTCAAAACACCAAAATCCCAACACTCCTATAAAACAACAAATTTGCATCCTCCATAACCTCACACATTACATACATCCTCACAAGATTGCTCACAACAAACCCATCATTTTCCAATCCAAACTTCACAGCCATGCCATGAACACACTTACCCACCTCAAGATTCCCCATTTTTGCACAGGCTTTGAGCACAGAGGGGAAGGTGAACTTATTGGGTCCCACAGAACCATCAGCAACCATTTGAGAAAAGAAGAAGAGGGCATCGTGCGAGTGGTCGTTAACAGGGCTCTCTGCGAGAGCTCTGATGATTGTGTTCCAAGAAAAGCAATTGGGCTTCTCCATTTGGGTGAAAACTGATCGGGCGCATTGGATACTGCGGTGGGTTGAGAGGGCGTAGAAGCGGAGGATTTCGGCGGCGGCGAGGGGGTCATGGATTTGGCGGGTTTTGATGAAGTGGGCGTGGACTTGGTGCAGGTCTCTGATGATTTTGCATGATGTAATTTGTGGGAAGAGGGAAGATGGGTGAGAGGGAGGCGGAATTGTGGGGTTGCAGATGGTGGGGGTCATGGCGGAGCTGGGAATGTTTGGTGAGGCTCAGCTCTGTAGAATATGGGTATTACAGTATCATCATGAAACTTGCCATCTCAGATTATTTTTTATTTTTTCGACTGGACGGTTCAGATTTTATTTAGGATTCAATAATTATTAAGAAAAATCTTAAATTTAAGGAATATGCTGAAGCTAGAAACTATTTAGCCCATGATGCGTCATAAGGCTTTTTTTAAAAGGAGTTTTAACGAAAAACATACGGTACTGTTTACTTTAACAAAAAATTATATTTTTACACTAAAAAGTCAATTATAGTACTATTTACTTTACTCTTTATTTTGTCCTTATCGTTAAAACTCAAAGTTTTCAAATCATTTTCATTAATTTTTTTTTTTTTTAATTTTGATTTCATCTATTGACGATAATTATTTCTTTAACAACGACTTTATTTTTTATTTTTGGTTAATCAAAGTAAATTTTATTTTAAATTTTTTTTTTTGGAATAAATGATATTATCTACACTAAAGGAGAGGGGGTGGGCTTCGCCTCATAATGGGCTAGCATAATGTGGTTCAAACTCGCATTTGACGAGAATCAAACCTAAAACCTCTTATTTACACGTGAAGAGGAATACCACTAGACCGTAGTACTAAATAGCAAGTAAATTTTATTAAAAAAGAAAGCTAGTATATGGTAAGGACAACTCAAAAAGAGAGTGCATAAAAGTCAAGCAAAATCCTAACTCGATAAAAGAAAATTACAATAAAATGGGCCCAAAGCGAGCAGCCCGAAGCAACAAACAACCAGAAAAGCCTAGACATGAAAATGTAAAGCAGACGCCTCCACCAAAACAGAACCACCGCTACCACAGATCTACCTGCGTTGACACTCCCATAATCCTACCAAATAGTGCAAAATGCAATTTAAATGCTACGAGCCACCAAAGCGCACATCCAGAGGAGATCATAGGAAGAGACACCTAATGAAACGAGCAGCAAGAGTAGATGGTTGTAATTTCACGTTGAGGAGTGATATTTGGAAAGGAGCAAGGCATAGAAGCCAGATCTGAGATAAACTCAGAGACAACTGAGACCAAGCTCAAAGCAATCTCAAACACAAAATGCTTAGAGAGGAAAAAGCTGAAAGCTAAATGCATAAAAAGTAAATCCAAATCATTAACCATGGTGGTTTGGAAAAGTGAAAAACGGGATGGAGTCGGGAGAAAAAAAGGGAGGATGGGGAGGTAAGGGGAAAACAGAGGGAGAAAAGGGAAGATATAGAGGTAATAGAAGGTTGAAGAAAGGGAGAGGTCTTATAAGTGATGGGAGAAAGGGAGGAATCAGAGGATGGGAGAAAGGGGAAGAAGGAAGAGGGCAAGGAGGGATAGGCACTGGGTTGCCGCCGACCCCAAGCTGGAGCAAGGAGTAGACAACAAGGAAGGTTTCGGAATTTTAGGGGTTTATGAGAGTGAAATTTAATATTTGAAACCTAAATCTAAGTGACCAAAAATCTTCTTCGTGAAGATACTTGGTGAAGGAGAAAGAGTTTGAGTTGAGTTACGTGGAAAAGGAATGCTAGCTACGTTTCCATTGTGAATTCCACTTGCACATCAATCTAAGAAATTAATTCTCTAAAAACATGCTACTTAGTACTACAGTTTAGTGATATCCCTCTTCACTTGTAAGTGAGAGGTCTTATAGCAATGGTTGTGTGGGAAGCCATTGACAATAGAGAATGTGGAGGTTGCTCTACCCCAAGCCAATGTGGTAAGGATCAAGATCAAATATACCTCACTTTGTCACACTGATGTCCACATCTGGAAGGCCCGGGTCAGCATTGCAAATCTATATGCTATTGTTTCTTTTTTTTTCTTTTAGTAATTTCTGGTCTCTTACTATTTATATGTTGATCTTTGAAATCAACAGGTTATTGCTGAGATGACCAACGGTGGGGTTGATAGTAGCATAGAGCGCACCGGCAACATCAATCCCCTCATGTCTACTTATGAATGTGTTCATGATGTATGTTTACTTGCCTCACAAGTTACATTGTCATTGTTTAATGATGGAAATAAGATTGGTTCTAACATGAAATGGTTCCGAAATATAATCCGGCGATCGCGGAATGGCTAAAGGAAGAGAAGTGGTCTAGGACTAGGGTAATGGTTTGTGTATCTACTGCATATGCGTGATTTTCTACTATCTCCTTCATTCTGTGCTACTCATCAATCCAGTTGTGATTCCCGGTGAGTAGCATTCTGAAATTTCTAATTCAACAAGAAGAAAGAGAAAATAATTCAAAGATTAAATTCTTTAGTTTTTGAGAAAATAAGATTGTAAACCATATATCTTAACGGCTCATAAAAGGAAGTGCGATAATCACTTCGCAGCGTATACTCATTTCTCTCTGTCTCCCTCTTGTCTTGTAACTTATCGTATACGCCTTTCTCTCCGTCTCATTTTATCATGCTGCCACTAATAACTATATTAACCGTGGCAATTTCCTACCATCAATGCCAACTTCTACAGAAAAGACCATTCTTTTGTGTATAATAAGATCTCCATGAGCTTTGCAAAGATTAAAACTAATTAACTTCCCGTCAACTTTCCGAAAAGGACGGCTCCTCACAGTCAGGTTCGCTATGCTAGGCCTTTCCTAACAGCATAAACCAGCAAATGAGAGATTTTTGTTCTGTCAATGAAGATACCTTGTTCCATTCCACGGTCCACCCATGTGTCTGTTACTTGTACTTCTCCATGATTCTTCTGGCTTCTTCTAGACTGTCGTCTATCCCGTCCTCCTTTGGCGTTGAAGTGGTGCCTCCACCCCCCCTGGGCCCTTCATCCTTATTCAAAGCAATGAATATAAAGTATACAAGTCCCATCGTAGCCTGTTATCATACAATGCTTACTTCAATACAATTACATATCATATATGTACTTTACAAATACAGGACTATCTAATATCTATATAAGAACAATCTTCTCTTATTGACGATAAATTGTCTACGTATTATCTCATTTCTTTATAGTAAGGCAGCAAAATACGCAATTTACTGTTCTTGGAGGAGGAAAGAAACGGACAACATACCAGTGCAAAGAAAGCTGTAGACAGGAAAGATTTGAGCACAAACAGTGAAAGTGTCAATGCAACTATAGTCACAGAAACCCTTGCAACTGGTCTCGGTACTGAATTCTACCACCCCCAAAGCAAAATGAAAACAAAATATCAACAATCTCCAATTTGTACAGAAAGAAAGAAAAATAGCAGGCACTGAAATGCAAATCGTCGCAAGAAAGGGGAGACCCTACAGAACTTACCGGGACAAGATTGGTTCCTGCCTCAACTCCATCTCTCCCAACCTTCCATGCCGTTTGCAGAACTATTTACATAATTTACACCAGCAGTTAACACACATGTAAAAATAAACAACAGTAACTATATGCTCTCTTGTATGAGCAGGACAGCAACGAAAGTAGTTCATGTGATGCTAACAACATTGAATTTGATGTGAATTTAAGTTTTAAGAACATAATAACTTCCTCCATGTGATAATGTAACTCAACCACAAACCTAACATCTTATCCTAACACTTAAAAAATTCTGACTCAAAATTAGCCTGCATTTAAGGGTCGTAATAGAAATACCTTCTTGGACTACTTTTCATGCAATTGGAAGTGGATCCTCCATACAAGTTTTCCGTTGACGAAAACTGAAAAAAAACTAATAAGGGGACCTATTCTTATGAACCTATAAACGTAAAAGAAAAAATGCCACATAACCAAAATTGCCCCAAGAAAATCACACTTGCTACACATTGCACATCAGTAATCAGTTAAGTCTTGCACCCGCCAAATATTAGGCTCTCATGGATTATGCATAATTAGCCAGTTCCCTCAACTATAGTCTAAAATCGGGGCTCTTTAATCTTACGGCAACAAGATTCTAGTATTCACAAAAATTATCATTCTAGTTACAACTTCAGTACAAGAGCCTCTATGTAGAAATCATCGCATTTGTTTTTCGGGCCAGTCACATTCTACTAACCAAAAATCACCCGAATTTTTAAAGTTTTTGGACAACGCAGTGAATTGTTAAACTATATCTAACTCTAGAGACTACAAAATTCCAGAATCTAACTGAAAACCAGCATGCTTTCTGCATAAATATGCACATTACTTCCTACTCACCATTACCGTTCAGCTGCAATAGCATTATTTATCAAAACCCAGAAACCAAAAACCAAAAACAGAAAAAACTCAATTCAGAAAACAGAAAATTACAAGAACCCATCAAATAAAAATGTTCAGGGATGCCAATCAACAAGTACCAAATCAAAAGAGAAAGTAGAACAGCAACAAAAGCAGCGAAATGCAGCTAACCTTTGAAGAAGTTGGACTGTGAAGCAAACACAACAGGAACCACAGAGCGATGATTCTGACTCCTCCGCCTCTTAATCCGAATAGCTGACGGTAAAGTCTGTTTCTTTAATCTAAAAGATGAACTGGAGGAGAAGAGCTGAGAGTTGGAGAAAGCTAGGGTTTCATTCTTGTAACAATTTGGGGATTGTGGGGTTATGCAGCACAGGCTTTGCGGCATAAGCGAACCGGCCATTGAGTTATCTTTCTGCAAAAATGTCACGGAAGATTAATTGGGAGAGCTTCAACCGCCATTTGAGGTTTTACACAGATAAGGAGGAGATAGTTCAAGACTCTCTCTCAGCCTCACAAGCAGAGCGTTGGAAGGGCCTACGAATGGCCTAATGTAACAGAGTTATTATTTTTCTGTGGGCCTTTTTTCATGGGCCAATTTTAAATGTCTTTCTAAGAGGTTTTTTTTGATATAGGCGTCTTATTTTTTTAATTTCGATGATTAAATATCTGTTCATTTTAAGAATTTGATTAAACACCAAGGGGACCGGCTGCTCCAACAACTCAAATCGCCAGACTAAGTAGCTCAAGCACATTCGGGTTATTGGGTTGAGGGGGAGCTCAAGCGCAAATCCAAGGTCCAAGCGCTTTAGGGGGACTGACGTCAGCTAAGTTATTAAAAATTTTGCGTCAGGCGCATGCAACACAAGTGCGAGTGGGGGTGCATCACTGAAAAGATTTGCAGGCGATGGGGCCCGCGCTGGATAGGCTGTCTGTAGTCGTTGTTGGGTGCAACGTGGCACTCTCTCGGCCATTGGATTTCAACGACTCTTCTTTCTGGATTGTTCGATTTAACGGTAAATAAAAATTTCAAAATTCCCCCAACGACAGATGACGTGGCACGATCTGGTCCTTTTGAATCCAGATCAATAGTCCAAGTTTTTCGGCTTTAAAAAAAAATGATATGTTACCGTTATGCCACGTGTCACAATCTGGAGGGTTGGATTTCAAATATTGTGTAATCCAACGGTATAAATTAATTAAGTTAATAAAAATTAAATAAAAATCCGAAAAAATTTAAAAAAAAAATATTTAATTTCTATAAATACCTTATCATTATCTTCCACCTTACACCACACTTTTATATTTTCTCAAATACTTTCAACCACATTCCAATCTTTCTCTCAAAGTTTATATCTACTTTTGTTTCAAAAAAAAAAAAAAAGGCCAATAACGCAGGTATGAATTGGACGCTTATTAAAGATGTTGCATTGTGTTCTATCTAGGTTAAAGTTACTCATGATTCGATTACGAGTAATGAGATGCAATTGCGAGAAATGTGGAGCAATATTCGTTCCCTTTTTCTTGAGAAAATTGGTGGCAAAAGAACAAAACAATTGCTCTCAAGTCGTTCGAGAATATTCAGCCAATCGTTTACTCATTAGAGAAAAGTCTTGGCACAATCTAGTACTAATATTCGAAGTGGGGAAAATTACGCGGATTAGGTAACAATATATTATTTATTTGTTTGTACTATGCCCAAATTTACATTAGCTACTTTGATTATAATTTTTTCTTCTCCCACATTTTGTAGACACTTCAAGCACAAGCTTGGTACAATGCCAAAAACAAAAACAAATCATTCAACCTGTGGGAATGTTGGAATATTGTCAAAGATTGTCCCAAATTCAGAGTTGTGCCTGTCGGTCCAGAAGTTGTCATGAATAGCACCCCTTTACACTCTACGTCAAATCACAACTCGTATGTTCATGAAAGCGACACAAAACAAGTACCGAAAGCCACCCTTGAACAAGTGTCGGGGTCGACCTGTTATCCACTCAGGCTTCAAGGTAAGAAGGCTTCAAAGAGAAGGAGTTCTTCCAAGAATGATTATGCAAAATATATGGAAGAACTTGCTCGCCAAGGTGAATTGACTTTGGTGAGGGAAATGGCTAAATTTGAGGTTGATAAGGCTAGAGATGAGGCAAAATTTGCAGCTGCTGAGAGATTATTTCAAGCTAATGAAAGAGAAAGAGAGCTACTTAGGAAAGAAAGGGAGATGCTTAAAGAAGAAAGAAGGGCTCAACAAGATTGTGACATTATGAACATGCCTGTAGATGCGATGCATACGAATTCTAAATATTTTTGGAATTCGGAGAAAACGGACGTGGTGCGAAGGAGGCGTACAAGAGATGAAGGAGAAGTGGAGATGGTCCTAGCACCACAAATTGGTTAGGTGATGATTTTCCATTCACGAGGGACTAGAGAATTTGTTGTATAATCGGAGCCCATAATTTTTGAATCACTTTGGGTTGTAATTTTGTATTTATTTAATTTGGTACTTTATGTAATTTCTGTATTTATTGAATTTAGTACTTTAAGTAATTTCATATTTATTTAATTTAGTACTTTATTTAAACTAAGAGTATCTTGATTTAATTTGGTACTTTATTTAAACTAAGAGAATCTTTATTCAAACAACATAAACACACCAAATAAAATTACATAAACACACCAAATAAAAAAAAACACACTAAATGAACTTAAAAAACACACCAAACAAACTAAGAGCATTCTGCTTCCACCACAAGCTTGTTTTTAAGTTTGGTGAGCTTGTTTCAATGACCACAAGTGTTCTATCAAGTCACTTTGTTGGGCTTTGTGATAGTATGAGGATTGGAGTGAAGTATATCGTTGCATGAGCCTTACATTGTAACGTCCATCCCTTTCTAATAGCTCGTGTTGCACGGGTTCTTTGGTGGTGTCATGAGCACAATATTTCTATGTTTTGGAATTGTTCATCGTGTTTGGCTCAAATTCATCAACGACATCATAATCATACTTATCTTCCACAATCATGTTATGAAGAATGATACATGTCATCATGATGGATCGAAGTGACTCTAAATCAAACAATCTGGCAACACCCCTGACAATGGCCCAATGAGCTTGGAGGATACCAAAACAACGCTCCACATCCTTCATGCACCCATCTTGACCTCTTGCGAAGAGTTTTTCCTTTTCACTTCGTGGACATGACACTATTTTGACAAATGATATCCACTTTGGGTAGATGCCGTATGCTAGGTAGTATGCCCTTAAGTGTACGATTCCATTGATTGTATATGTGACTTGAGGATCTTTTCCTTGCAAGACATCGTTGAACAATGAGGATTGAGCAAAGACATTGATGACATTTTGAGCTCCTGGAACACTGAAAAAACATGCCAAATTCATGTATCAAATGATGACATCGCCTCCAAAATGATACTTTTGGCTCATTTTCTGTCCCTATAAGCTTTTTGCCATGCATTTGGATAGTTTTTCCAGGTCCAGTGCATACTGTCGATGCTTCCAATCATGCCAGAAAAACCTCGCATCTCACCCTTCTTCATAAGCCTTTGCAAGTCCATTGTCGTGGGTCTCTGGAGGTACTTTCTGGTGTAGATAGATTTGATTGCAAAGCAAAACCTCATCAGGGACTCCAGAATGGTTGTTTTTCCCATCCTCGCTATCTTATCCACTTGGTCCATATACAAGCATCCGCAATGAAGCATTAATTTTTTGCTCAGGAATGAGACCTATGACACCAAAGCATCATTCTTTTGCACAAAGTAAGAATCATGGTTGCAAATTTATGATTTTGTTGAACAAATGTCGTTACATTCTAAAACAACGTCTAAATTACGCATCAGGGAATGCACTGTTACGGTCAAAATAATCGTCCAAGAGATCCTTACCTCGTCGTTGCCTGCTTCTATCAATGTTTGTGGAACGCCTGTGCCTAGAGATCTTAGCCACAACTTGGATGACTCGACGTGAATGTGAGGCTGTTTAACTTCTTGCTTCATCATCTCCCTTTCTACGCTCCTCAACCTCTTCCCCTTCCATCTCATTTTCTTCCTTTTGGAGATTGCACATTTCTTCCCCTTACTTAAACAATTCTTTCTTTTGCTCATCGATTTCCCCCAACATCCTTAGAGAAGACATTGTAAGAAGGAAGGAGAAACTATGTATAAAGATAGAGATTTTGATTTTGGTGTGTGATTTCTTAGGATGGATGGTGGGTTATATGGAGAAAAAAAAAAGGAGAAATGATTAGGTTGTAGATAATACCACTTGGCACGCCATGATTTGTTAAAAATCTTATCGAAATCTATCCTAAAAGATTCTAAATAGATTGTGACATGTGATGCGACAAGATTGGTTAAAAATCTTATTGGAAATCTATCCTCAATGATTCTAAAAAGGTAACGACACGTGGTACGATGAAATTGGATAAAATCTTATCGAAATCTATTACTAAAAATTGTATCGAAATCTATTACCAAAAATTGCACTTTTGGATAATAACACGTGCCTTGACGAGACCGGTTAAAAATTATATCCGAAATTACAAATAAAATTATTTTTTATTACCTATTGCATGACTATTTAGTTTAGTGGTGAAGATGTAAAAGGCAATTACTGTTTATTAAAGGCAATTGCTATTCACCGGAGGGGATTTAATTGCATATTACCATGGGGAGCCCTTACACGCTGAAATTGCTCTTAGCCTCACAAGTGGAGCATTGGAAAGGGCCTACTAATGGTGAAATGTAACAGAGTTATTATTTTTCTATGGGTCCTTTTCATGGGCCAATTTTAAATGTCTTTTCAAGAGACGTTTTGATATATGTACCTCATTTTTTTAATTTATTGATTAAATATCTGTTCATTTTAAGAATTTGATTAAATATTTTTTTTTTCACAATTTTATTAGAGGTATTTTTAATTTAATTGGTACATTGAATATGGGTACATTTGATTTATGGTATAGGCTTTTTAGCCAAAATGGTCTCTGAGATTTGTATAATTCACTTTGGTCCATGAGATTTGAAACCAATAGAAGTGGTCCCTAAGATTGTCTATCATCAATCACTTTGGTCATTCCATGAAAAATCTTCATTAAATAAGAATAAAATGACAAAAATACCCTCAATTTTTTGTCAAATCATTTTGGCCTATTGTTTGTTAAATTGAGGTTATTTTTGTTATTTTGATTATTTTAACATAATTTTTCATGGATTGACCAAAATGATTAATGATGGATGATCTCAGGGACCACTTCTATTGATTTCAAATCTTAGGGACCAAACTGAAGAGTTATGCAAATTTCAGGGACCATTTTGGCTAAAAAGCCTATGGTATATTTAGATGTTTGGTAGAATTTGTTTCTTGGTACATTTAGAATCTAAATGTACCAAAAGTCGGTATGTTTATTTTCAAATGTACCATAAATTTTAAATACATTTTTTTATAACTATATGTAAAATTTTGACAAATCAATGAAGTTTTGTTATGAAAGTATTAATGATGTAATGGAGGAATAGACTAATGAAATATAATAACAGAAACAAAAAGTTCTCTTTTTTTATTTATTTTTTATTTTTTTATAGTTATAGTAAGGAATTAGTTAAATTATTATTTTTAATAAGCCACAAATTTAAAATTTCTATATTGTAGGAAATTAGTTGTTAGCTAGATTAAGTGGATATATATAAAATAAATAGAAAAATGTTGAGTTGACAATTGATTGAAGCATTTGAATCAAATTTTGCAAAGAAACACATGTTTAGTCTAAATAAATTGGAAAGAAGGTGCAAGTGTCACCAGTCCCAGACAAAGCAGAAGTTAAGGTCAAGATATTTCCCAAAATGGCAGAAAGATCTATGTAGAGAATTCCAATTACTCCTTTGAATTTGTTTATTTCTTTTATTTGCAGATTTAAACGTAGCAAAACTAAATTGATATAACATGATGTACCAACGAAATAGATTATGATGATATTTTCAACTTAATCATCACTAACCAGTTAACATTTCCCATTAAGATTTTATGTTTTTCGAAGAGAAGCCATAAAAAAAGTACTCATTTATGAAGAGTGCCACATCAATTTTTGAAAAGTAGGAGGGAGTGACATCCACTAATTTGAAAATCATTAACTTTTGTGGTATAGGTCTATCGATTCATCAACTTTCGATTCATCAACTTTACCATTTCTGCTGAAACTATTCAGAAGGTGTTTGCTAAACTGAAAAAAAAGGGATTATTTTGGAAGTTGTGGTGATTGACAGCTGAAATCATCAGAAAAGTCGAAGCAGCTAAATGCTGCTTTGGAAAACTGGCTTTTTTTCAATGCACGCGAAGCTATAATGCATCTTTAATGAAACTTTCTAAAGTCCAATAACACCCTCGTCATTTTTACAAAATGACAAACCTTGTCCTTAATACTCAAACTGGAATCTCTCACACTCGTTCACCCCTTCCCTCGCATCAGAGTAGGACCGCAGCCGTCTCGCCCACTCTCGTTCAACACCAACCACCACCACTGCACCAACATTTATCCCTATTCTCCTTCCAAATCCTCCAAATACACAAATAAGAAAAAGATTCAATCTTTGTGAGAAACCATTTTTGAAAATTTTCCAATTGGATCGAATCCCAGAATCCGAGTGAGAATCAACCTAGAATGCGAGCAAGAACTAGTCCAGAATCCGAGCAAGAACTAGTCCAGAATTCGAGCAAGAAAAATATTCCTGCTTGCAAAAAAACAGTCGAAATAAATGAGAGATGACACAGATTCTTCCAAATTTTCATTTAATCCCAATTAAAACTTCGCATAGAGGTTTAGAGATTTACCCAGTCATCAATTAGGAATGAATTGGTCTTTGATTAGTTGTAATGGCACTGGTGATGCTTCATTGGTTTCTGGGCAGAAAATACAGAGCATGCATTAGCTCTTGTCCTTCAAATTTAACCTCAAACTTCACAGATAAAGTCAAGAGAGTTACCCAGAGTTGAGATTTGGCAATTGGTGTAGATTCAGTCTTGAGTTCGCCGGAAAAATGACCATGAAGGTCACCAGATTTCTGGGCATGAACATAGAGAGGGCATTGGGGTTAAATCTCAAGAATTTCATGCCAAAATTCGATATGCAGGATACAGAAGTTGTACCTGAGATTAAATGAAGGTTGAATTGAGTTTGAAGCACCCCAATTTCATCGAGCCTTAGGTCAACTGATTGAAGAGTTTTTCACCGAGAGGGAAGGGTTGGCTTTCTTCATTTTTGAGTACTTGATCTTCACATGCAACACCACCATTTGAATCCATAGGTCAAACTACACCTAAAACAGGGAATATTGGAATGGATTTTACTCGGAAAGTCGATCTTGTCAATCATCTTGAAGTAGATGAGAATCAGAAAGTCGATCTTGTTGATGATCTTGAGGTAGATGAGAAGGAACATTTGGACAATGTGGTCCTTAGAGTGGAGAAAATCAGATGAAAAAAAAATTAGGCAAAAAGGATGACTCCAGAATTCTAGATGGGAGAGAGAAACAAAGAGAGAAGGATGAGAGATGGAGTGGGCGGCTAATTGATTTTGTCCTGATTCTTGCTGGAGAGCTCATGGATTTGAGTTCTCAGATTTTCTTATCCCTAGGACCCAAAACATGATTCATGTAACCCAAACTTGGGGTTAAATTCGTAGGGGTGGAGATGATGATAATCTGGTGGTGAGATGGTCTGAGATCGAAGGTTTGTGTGTGGGGTTGTCTTGGTGGAGGAGATAGTGCAGAGAGAGAGAGAGAGAGCTGAGAGTTTTCGAGAGAGTTTGGGAATGTAGAGGGAAATGAAGACACGGGGAGAAGAGAAATGGGGTGTGGGCCCCACGGCCACACAAAATCCTCACAGAAAAATAGTAATATTAAATAAAATATCATAATAATAACATAGTATTATACCCTTTTTGGTCATTTCACACTGTCACAGCTGTTTTATATAAAAGTTTGCCAAACACTATAATACTACTTTTTTTTTTTTTTTTTTTTTCAAAAGCATTTTTACAAAAAAGTTTACCAAACACTCTGTCATTGACGTCCCTACAATTATGATAATGCATCATGTCTTGAACAACGCAACAATGAATACATCAAAGGAGACAATATCAAACACAATGCGCCGAAGTTCTTTTTCTCTCAATAGCAACAAAAGCACCGGAAGATTGAAGTCAAGCAAATCCGTTCTTAGGACAACCTGACGGACCTCTTCACCCGATCAATGTCGAAGACTACTTTCTAGAAGCTTGTTCAAGGATTGGCATCCGTAAACTTTTTGAGTCGTAACATTGTTAGTTTTCTTTGGAATTATGTCAAACTTAGGGGGAGTATCCTAAAGTGTATTCACTTGATCTTAATGTACTCTTTTTTCCCTACAATGTGGAGCATTTTTCCGTTTTGAGTTTTTGCTACCTAGTGAGGTTTTAACGAGGCACCCATCTTGGGCTGGTCATATCCTTGTGTATATCTCGTAGAAGTTTAAATTGGCTTTGCATTGTCTCACCTTTTTCCTTAGACTTGGGATTTTGTCCTATATTTGGTTTTACCATACCCGGGTTTTGTGAGACTTATTTCCATATGCAAGTTCCCTTCTTTTAAGACTAGCGTGTTCCTCAACTTTAACTGCTGACGATCTACACACGAGTGTTATAGATATTCTTTAATTGTGATTTTATATATCTTAGATAGATTTGTTTTCTAGATTATATATCACTATAGTTATTTTTCCCTATAGGATTGTATTTAGTGGGAGAACAAGTTAATCATCTCCTCTTATTTTATTATAAATAAAGGCACTGCTTAAGAAGATATACACACAAAAATCTTTAAGCATTCTACAATATCTCCACTCTCTCAATTGGCGCCCCACCTCTGTTTCCCCCTGAGTTAATTAGCCACAACATAAAACTAATTTAAAGATTTTATTTTTGGGGCTAGGACTCTTCAAATTCCAAAACAAAACTAATTAAGGGAAACAAAATTACGATCTTTCTCTTTCTCTTAAACTTTCACGTTCTGTGTCTCTCGTTTTTCACAGATCTCTCGTCGCCTAGTCTCTCTCGCTCTGTTGTCCATCTTTCATTTGTGGACAATTCAGAATTTGTGCTTCCTTTCCTTCGAAAAGGTATGTCGTTTTTTCTTCCCCTTTTAATTCTCATCTTTAGTTCACGTTGCTGATGCATAAACCCATCGGTTTCTCTGTAATTTTTTTACGTTTTCATTATTCTTTTTCGATTTGTTGCGTCAAATTTGAAATGGAATTTGTTGGCTTGATTTAGTATTAGGTTGCAAGTGGGTTCTGTTTTTAGGGTTCTCCATCCGTCCCATTCCCTCTCCCTTCCCTTCTTCAATCAGGGTGGAGTGGTTTTGCAATTTTGCGCTCAATGTAATTCAATATTTTTACTGGAATATACGTACATATGTGTGTCTATATATAAATGTCTAAATTTGTTCACTTTTTCTAGGGTGCGAAAAGGATTTCTCTAAGCTTTTTATTAATAAAAAACCATCCACTAATTTTATTTAATAAGGAGGACTTAAATTTTAATAAAAATGACTTGCCACTTAGTAGTGGTATTCCTCTTCACCTGTAAATGAGAGGTCTTAGGTTCGATTCTCACTAAAGGCGAATTTGAACCACATTATTGCTAGCCCATTGTGAAGTTGAGCCCACCCCCTTCCTTTTAGTGTAGATAATATCATTTGTTAATTTTTTTTTTTTTTTAATAAAAATGACTTAAGTTATAATATAAAGTATAAAAGTTTAACATAATAATAATAATAAAAAAAAAACAAAAACAAAATCTGACGTGCGTGTCACATCATTCACACACACACACACACACACTTTTCCTCCTTCCTTGTCACGCCCAGACCCAAGGTCGATGGAAAAATTACCCTGCGTCCGACGCTTTAGTAAAAGTACAAAATAAAACAAAAAATTAAACTTTTCTTATAAAAATAACTCAAAAATCCTTACAAGGTGTACAAAAGAAAATAAAATTGTTAAATCTTTCATCTAACGCAACCTTAGCTCGTCTACCCTTCTTTAATCTTGTATCGAACCTTTAAGGTCTAAAATGTATAAGGTGAGCGAAACCACAGCTCAGTGGGGACATAAATCTTATCAAAGATAATTATCAAGGCTAAACCGAGTGTCATGCTCACATAATCAACTATAACATATTATCACACATAAATTATATTCCATGAATGTAGCTTAATTTCAATCACCCCAACTCGTTAATTTATATAATAAAACACGCGGACTTGCATGTCCCATACCATGCATTTTACCACTGCATTCGGACCAATGCATGTCCCATACCATGCATTTTACCACTGCAGCTGTGGTCCGAATGCTCTATTATACAAACTATCCCCCATATCTCAATGATCCCCAAATTTCTCATTTGTTGGTCATCTTGTTATCCTCTCGGTCACCAGTGTTCCTACTACTTCATACCATTCCTATAGTTTTACTTTTGCCACCTTTACTGGTCCCCATGAGAGCCGAACTCAACCACACAAAAAAATATTTCCATTTCCATAACCCGATCCCTTCCAATATGCAATGACATATGCATGTAATCAACATCATTCACAATATCCACATTTTCAATAATAATATAAATCATATTTCAAATACACAATTATATCAAGCACTGAGAAATATCAAATATAACACATTTCACAAAGCTTAAACAAGACAAACACCACAATAATGATAAATTTCCCAAGAAACCTCCTACCTCAGTTCCAAAGCTAGAGCCCAACTTTATGTTCCAACCTAGGTGCCAAGCTCTACGAACAAGCTCCTAACACCATGTCTTTCTGCCACTCTCTTTTTCTTTTCTAATCTCCCTCTCCAACATATATAATATATATATATATATATATATATAATATAATTCAAACCAACGTACTCTGCATGAAAACTACATGCAATGTACAAGATATAAAGATTTGGAAGAATGGTACGAATAAAAATTGAACATTGGATGCTATTTATAGTAGGCAAAGGTCGGCTATATAGGAAGAAATAGATAGAAATGGGCTGAGAAGAAACTTTGGTGCGGAAAAGGATTCCCTCCGGATTCTGTGGGGATCTTAGGGATTCCAACATCTCAAGTGTTTATCGTGTATCGTGCGTTCAATTTTCGTCAGACATTATTTGTGTTTAATTTAAAATAATAAAACTCAAATGATTTCTGACCGCACGATATGCAATGAACGGCTAAAATGTAGGAATCATAAGGGATCATTTTCCCTTTGGTGTAGCCCTTAAAAGGAACACATGGTTGATGACTCACGTATCACAAGATGATGTGTCGTGCGTTTCATAGGGCCAGGTAGGAAACTTGATGTATATGAGATAAAGATGGCTTATATGTTACAAGCTTTAAAGGAATTGAGTGGGTGAAGGACACCCAACGACATGCAATTGATGAAACATACACCTTAGTCACAAGATGATATAGTGACTTTAGGACGTGGTGAGTCGACTGCCATGCAAAAAAATAAAATGAACAATAGAAAATAAAATATAAATGGGCAAACAATATAAAGTCTCCTATTGACTGGGCAATACTAGTATAAATTCATGGTCTTACAATCTACCCTCTTTCAAACAAATTTCGTCCTTGAAATTTACTAATTATACTTAACTCTTTCCGTCAAGCCTAATAAACTTAAACTAATGTTGGGTCACAGTTCCCAAGGGTGTCTACTAGTTGAGCACTGATACCATTTTGTCACACTTCAGATCCGAGATCTGTGCAAAAATAACCCCGCGCCCAATACGCTAGTAAAAGTATGAAATAAAACGAAAAATTAAACTTCTCTTATAAAAAAAACTCAAAAATCTTTACAGGGTGTACAAAATAAAATAAAACCCTTAAATCTCAGTCTAACACAACCTCAACTCGTCTACCCTTCTTTAATCTTGTATCGAACCTGCATGGTCTAAAATGTATAGGGTGAGCGAAACCACAGCTCAGTAGGGACATGAATCTTGTATCGAACATGCATGGTCTAAAATGTATAGGGTGAGCGAAACCACAGCCCAGTAGGGACATGAATCTTATCAAGGTTAAACCAAGTGTCATGCTCACATAATCAACTATAACATATTATCACACATAAATTATATTCCATGAATGCAGCTTAGCTTCAATTACTCCAATCCATTAAACTATATAATAAAACACACGAACCTGCATGTCCCATACCATGCATTTTACCAATACAATAGTGATCTGAATGCTCTATTATACAAACAAACCCCCGTAGCTCAATGATCCCCAAATTTCCCATTTGTTGGTCATTGTTCTCCTCTCGATCGCCAGAGTTTCCATTACTTCATACCATTCCTGTAATTTTACTTTTACCACCCTTGCTGGTCCTTATGAGAGTCAAACTCAGCCAAACAAAAAAATATTTCCATATCCATAACCCAATCTCAAATAACCAATAAAATTCATCCCCTTCAATATGAAATGACATATGCATGTAATCAGCATCATCACAATATCCACATTTTCAATAATAATATAAATCATATTTCAAATATATCAAATATAACATATATTTCACCAAGTTTAGACAAGACAAATACTCCGATAGTGATAAATTTTGAGAAGAAAACCTCCAAAAAACGCCCTACCTCAGTTCCAAAGCTAGAGCCTAACTTTGTGTTCCAACCTGAGTGCCAAGCTCCACAAACAAGCTCCTAACACCATGTCTTTCTGTCACTCTCTTTTCTTTCCTAATCTCTGTCTCTAACATATATAATATATATAATATAATACAAACCATCGTACTCTGCATGACAACTACATGCAATGTACAAGATTTAAAGACTTGGAAGACTGGTACGAATAAAAATTAAAGATTGGATGCTATTTACAGTAGGCAAAGGTCGGCTATAGGGGAATAAATAGATAGAAATGGGCTGAGAAGAAATTTTGGTGCAGCCCTTAAAAGGAACACGTGGTTGATGGCTCATTGGATGCAAGGCCACATGGCAATTCACGATAAGGTGACTGACACATGATAAGGTCGGCTATAGGGGAATAAATAGATAGAAATGGGCTGAGAAGAAATTTTGGTGCAGCCCTTAAAAGGAACACGTGGTTGATGACTCATGGAATGCAAGGCCACATGGCAATTCACGATAAGGTGACTGACACATCACAAGATGATGTGTCGTGCGCTTCATATGGCCAGGTAGGAAACTTGATACCTAACCACATGGAATTGATGAAACATATACCTTAGTCATTAGACGTATGTGGTGGAGTTACTTTAGGACATGGTGAGTCGACTGCCATGCAAAAAAATAAAATGAACAATAGAAAATAAAATATAAATGGGCAAACAATATAAAGTCTCCTATTTGGCTGGGCAATACTAGTATAAATTCAGGCTTTTACAATCTATCCTTCTTAAGACTAATTTCGTCCTCGAAATTTACTAATTAAACTCAACTATTTCCGTCAAGCCTAATAAGCTTAAACTAATCTTGTGTCACAGTTCCCAAGGGTGTTTACTAGCTGAGCTTTGATACCATTCTGTCACGCCCCTGACTCGAGGTTGGTGGAAAAATAACCCTACGACCGACGTGCGAGTAAAAGTACAAAATAAAAAGAAAAACTAAACTTTTTCTTATAAAAGTAACTCAAAAATCCTTACAGGGTGTACAAAATAAAAAATAAAATAAAACCCTTAAATCTCTCGTCAAACACAACCTCAGCTCGTCTACCTTTCTTTAATCTTGTATCGAACCTGCAAGGTCTAAAATGTATAAGGGGAGCGAAACCACAGCTCAGGATGGACATAAATCTTATCAAGGCCAAACCGAGTGTCATGCTCTACATATTATCACACATAAATTATATTCCATAAATGCAGCTTAACTTCAATTACCCCAACCCGTTAATCTATATAATAAAACACGCAGACCTGCATGTCCCATACCATGTATTTACCATTGCAATTTAACTTCAGTTACCCCAACCTATTAACTAGATACAAATGATTAGTTGTGTTTTCTAATTTGTTGTTATACAGATTGATGGATGAGTTGTGAACATTTTAACAATGAATAGCAAACCCAAATAATTATTCTATACACGAGAATGTTGTCAAAAGTATTATGATGGTCGAATCTCTTCAGGAAGTGTCATCCAAAGCAAATAGTAATTGAAGTTAGAAGAGGGCATGTCTTTCTCTAATTTTAGGAAAGATGAGAGCCTATTCCATTCTCACAAAAAAAGTTAAAATGGGAAATCATCTGTTAAGATTATTATGAGAGATAGTTATTACATTTTCATTGAAAATGGCGAAACCAGGAACATGAGGGGAGCATTGAATAAACATGGAATAAAGAAAGAGGCAGGAGGCACGTGGGGCTATGAGGCTAGGGTTTGAAGCTACTAAAGAAAATAATAGTAAAAGGTGTGGGCTGCTGCAATATATATAGTAAGCTTACAGAATTTGCAAGCACTTTTGTGAGGTTATTTTTTGTTTTTTATTTTTTTTCCTTATTATTAAATAAAGTTATAGGATATTTTTTTAGTCAAAATGCAAAATTTTGAAGCCATATTCATTAGTTTTCCTATTTTTATATACACAAGGTGGTCACAAGTCTGGGCTAATTTGATTATTGACCTAGGATTGGATATTATATTACATAGGAGCCAATTGTGGGTTTCGTTTTTAGAGGTGAGATGAAAAGAAACAGCCATTAGAGCTGCCAAGAACTCGAAGGTCATTGATCTCTTGAAGTGATTATATTGCTACAATTGGCAAGGCTCGCCGCAGGCAGATTGGCCAAAAAAAAAAAAAAAAAAAAAAAAAAAAAAAGGAAAGGCCAGCTGCAGGCATAGTATGAACTTTTTATGTTCTTTAGCACATAAATTGAACTCAATGTTCTAGCAGCAAGGCCCTCAAGCACAAAGTGATAGTCAAGAGCGATATGCTTTTTGTGTGAGTGAATTTTAGGGTTAGCAGCCATATATGTGTCTGCCAGTGCCAGATTGTCACAGTTAATCAAAACTGATAGAGTAACTGAAATACGAAGCTTACGAAGAAGTCCCAAAAGCCAATATGAAACAATTACAAAATATGATTGAAATCATATTTGACTAAGGTCTTTAACACGACTTACTTAAGCAAACCAGCATGAAACAAATAACCCAATACATGGAAGCAAGCATGACATGCAACAACAGTTTATTACAAACAAACAAATTCAGAAAAATAACACAAACAAACACAAAGTAGTCCAAGCAAATTTTATTGATCAGCGTCGAAAAGTAGGCGCTTTGCAACCTGGGAAGGTTGCTTCCCCTGAGTTACCATTGATCAGTCCTCAAGTTCTTCAAGAATATTTTCTGGCTGTTCAGTTTCACCTTGCGAATGCGAGGACAGCATGCTGAAATTTTTGGCATTGGATCTGATGTTAACTCCAGGGAATCGTCCGGATCCTTTATTGACAAGGATTCTAGGTGCTGAAATTTGGTTGGAAGTTGGAAGATTTCAAGGAACTCATCAAGCTTGCTCTGATCACGTATTTGTATTACCAATCTTCTGAGATTGGGCAGTGTGGTCAAATCCTTCACATCTGCTATTGATGCAGGAAAGTTTTTTAGGGTCTGCAGGTCATTGAGGTTAGCAAATTCCAAACACTCGGTATCTGATCCACAGAAAGCAGGAAGATACAAATGCCTTAATTTCCTCAACTTCCAAATCACATTCGGAATTTTTCTAGCTGAATAATATGGATCTAAGTTGAGGGACAATAAAAACTGCAAGTTGCCTATAGACGAAGAAAGCACTCCTATATAAGCAGAATTTACAGTCAAAAGCCTCAAATGAATCAAACCTCCTATTTTTTTGGGTACTGTGAAGCCTCTAATGTCTTCAAGATCTAAGACCCTAAGCAACTTAAACCTGCTGACCATGGAATCAATTAGCTCCTGACCTATTCCGCTGTTGTCATGCCGGCATCCTAATGCAGACCTAATAGGAGGACAGTCTTCGGTGCCTATAGGAATGGCACCACTAAATTGTTTCAAATGAATGGAAACTCTGCGTATCCTATTGGCTGAAATTGGTCTGCTTACCATGGAAGAGAAGAAATCCATTTGTCTGTTGCTGTTACGAAGTTCTATGGTGTGAAAGAAATCACTCCTTCTAGCCTTTTCCAAACATACTTCTCTCACCAGATCATGCATGCGGCAACTCTTAATCCTTCCGGTTGATGATCTTTTCTCCACTTGAACCAAATACCTGTCCGCCAACATTCTCAAGTAACGATATGCAACATCCTCTAATGTTTCCTCGTTCTCTCTTCCACTTGATGATTCAGGTGATATTATGGCTTCTGCAACCCACAGATTGATTAGTCTCCTTGTTGGCATCTCGAAATCCTCTGGGAATTGGCCTAAATGAAGGAAGCATGGTTTCAACTGATATGGCAAATCATCGTAACTTAGCGCTAACAGATCCATAGGTCCCAACGAATCTTCATTGCTGCCTATGTCTTTTTTCAGCTGCGATTTGATGTTTTTATGTATTGTCTCCCATTCATCAATGTAATCTTTTGATGCCAAAACACCACCAAGAACCACAATAGCTAATGGCAGACCCTTACAATGTGGTACCATTTCATTCCCTAGCTTTTTCTTGTTTTCCACCGTTATAAAAGCGTTGTTCGAACTGCGAGGCCTCATATCTTGTTGATGATCTACAGTGCAACAAGGATCAAACTATAAGAGCCACAAACGGTACATAGCTCATGTGAATGCTATCATGTAAAATATATAATTATATGAGTTGTTACAAGAAATATATATATATATATATATTTGAGCAATTAGAAATAATTTTGTTAATTCGTCAATGAGAAATAACAATAATCTAATTGAGCCAGACGTAAGTAAGGCCATAGAGTAGAATACTATTATAGCGAAAGAAAAGAAATGGATTATTTGTATAAAAACAAAGAAACATAAGGGTGAGTTTGATTTATTTATTTCGATGAGATTGTTTATTCAAGAGGTAAATTAATGATATAAAATCTACCAGCTACATGCTAGCTAGCTACAATTTTATGAAATCATTTGAGAATCTCTCAACGAAGGGGACCATATACGTAGAAAACGAATTAATGGCGCCCATACATCTAAGTTCACCCCAAGTGTTAAAAACCCAAATCTAAAAAATTGAAAACCCTAGACCTAGCCGTCCTCAACCCTCCCCCTCCCCACCCCCCCCACCCCACCTCCTACCACTACGCCGGCCGGAGTCATCCACCAGCCCAACTGCTGGCCTCCTAGCAAGCTCTCTCTCACTAAAGCATTTAAAGTACGACATTATATTCTTTGAGATTTGAGGAGCTATTTGATCTCTCCTTTTGACTCAGTTAATTATATAAAGATTGGTCTTGGATAAAGTTCTAAACCCACTGCACAAGAAAACAGAAATTAAATAAAGGCAGCAAGAGAGAAAAAAAATATTGAAGAACCCTTCTAATTAACTTTGGTGTCAAAATTCGGATGGAGCCTAGACGATTGAACATGTATTTGCCCGAGTGTTTGCTTTTGGTGTCAGTGCTACGGGATGGCTTGAAAGAAAGAGAGAATAGGTGTGCACTGTTGGAGGTTGCCAACAGACAGTGATTGTGTTTGTGTTTGAGTGTGTTAGAGGGTTGCGCATAAAACGATTTCGTAACCAAATGATTGTGCACCGAGTGGGATGCTGGTTCGGTTAAGTTCTTTTAGTGTCTCGATTTAATGAGAGCTTAGAATTCAGTGTGATTTTGTGTGTATTTGCTAGTAAAACCTCTACAAAGTTATAAAGTTGGGACCAAATAAGTTTTATAACTTTAGGGAGGTTATTAATTAATAGAGATGTAGTTAAAAGAAATATTATTTAATGACTTATTTATCCTTAATGAATATTGTATTTCTTATATAGGATTCTTTTGGGTGCAAGTAATTTATTTCTTGCACACATATGTACCCACAAGCTCAAAGATGTGACATTAACTATAGAAACAAAAACATTGTCCCAAATAATTTTAGAGATATATTTTAGTTTATCTTGAACTTTTATTTGTAATATTGCATATTTTTGTACTTATTGACAATTATTACTATGCAAAGATGTGTTTCCTTAAGATGGGACCAATAAAAATTATAACTTATTACAATGTGAAGTTTATTCCTATATATAATTGGTCACAAGTTGGGAAATTTTTTTCCATGGCTTTATTAAGGACGTTATTCATTTATAAAGTATTATGTTGGAGAGGTTTTACTATAAATGAAAGAGAAATAGAAACTAAACCAAGAAACCATATGTAATCATTTCTTAATGAAGTTAAGATTACAATTGTTCACAAAAGCAAATCTAGGCTGATGAGCCAATCCTCATGATTTGAAATGTAAATATACTAAAAATGTAAAGAAAGCAATAAAACACTAGCAAGATTGAGATAATGCTAGAGAAGTCCACTGAGATCATTGTGTCAGACTAGATTGAAGAGAGAACATGTGTCTCATAGAGGACTTTTTAGGGGTGGTTGGAATTGCACGTTAACCAAATCATATCACGGGTGGAATATACATTTTTTTTTTTTTAAATGGGTAGATGGGAGGGAGAGAAGTCAACGACAGGGCTTCTAGGATCACAGTTGATGGTTTGAAACGATGGTAGAGGTTGTGGGTTTCTTAACTTTTTTTTTTTTTTGGTGCTTAGTTTTTTTTTTTTAAAGTGGATAAATTTGGATTTTAAAAGATAAAAATAATATTTGTTAAAAAAAAAAAGATAAAAATAATAGGGGCATTTAGATTTCGATCCAAAAAAACAATGTGCTAGGTTAAGTTCAGTATGCTTTTTTTTACATTTTTATTTTTTTTAATGCTCATTTTACATTTTTAAAAATATTAGAGATATTTAAAAACTTCTAGTTTCATTCATCCTTTTGTTTGTATTTTATTTTTTTTGTCAATTGAATTTTGATTATTTGAAAATTGGTTTATTTTTAATACACCTAACATCTTCTAACAAAAAACTAATATACTAACATAAACATGCAACCTAACTCAAGGAACAAATATATAAATAGATAATATACCTATAAGCAAGATATGAAGCATAACTAAAATGTGCAAAAATATAATGTACCTCAAGCAAGATACATTAATTTGTGATACATGTTGATCTTAAAAAAAAAATCTCTCATATAATTAGATAAATACAATTAACTTGTAATATAGTTGATTATAAAAACTAAAAATAAAAGATATGAATGGGGTTGAGAGGACGAAGAAGAAGAAATAACGTATACGAATGGGGTTCAAACGAGGAAGAAGGAGAAGAAATATAAAAAGCAAAAAGAAATAAGAGAAATAATTAAAGAGATAATTAGGAATAGATTTAATTCCTATACTAAATTTTAAGAGATAATTATTGATAATATAATAGTCCTAAACTCAAAGGATGAGACCTATTTTAATCAAATGGACTATTCCAAATATTGATTAAAAAAATTAAACTTATATCAAGTTTTTTTTTTTAAAAAAAAAAACAGAATAATAGGCCGTACATAGAAAAAATCATGCAAAATTAACGTAGTTATACATTAACAGAGCTTATGTACCTAAAATTAATGTAGGACACTAATTTGTATTCCCATGCTTAATGATCGTGCTAGGGTGAGAAGTTGGCGTTACCTGCATGTTCAAATACTATCTTCTGAAACAGTTCCCAGGCCGCATCTTCGCTTAGACAAGCTGGTTCGTAGAGGAAACCTTTCGGATCCGCACGATATGCTACATCTTTGTTGCGAGATGTGAGTAGCATCTTTGTTTCCGCTTTAACATTGTACGCTGGAAAACCAGAACTCAGCGCTGTCCACGTATTAGCATCCCAGATGTCATCAAGAACCACCAAGCATCTCTCTTTTATAAGTAGATCATAAAGCTCTGTACTTATCTCATGATCTTTCTTCTCTCTCTTCTCTTCTTTCTTCTCTTTACTCTCTTTTTTCTTCTCTTTAGTCTCTTTTTCCTTCTCTTCAATCTCTTTGTCCTTCTCTTCATTCTCTTTTTTCTTCTCTTCGTTAATTTTGAACAGAATTTCCTCCCAAATTTCTCTTGCTTGACATTTTTGAGAGACGTACACCCAAACGAAATAACGAAAATGACCCCTAACTTTATCGTGATGGTAAACTTTCTTAGCAAGAGTGGTCTTCCCTAGACCTCCCATACCACATATCGAAACAAATCGACTGCTTCCTTGTCTTACAAGTTGAGACGACAGCCTATCCGCATCTTCCCCCAATCCCACAATATTTCTCTGATCATCCTCACGAGAATAAGTGCGGCGTAATGTCTTGAGGCCATTTTTGGAAGAGCTCGAGACCTCTTCTACTTGTCTCTTTATGCCAAACGTTTCTAAATTTTGGGTCAACTGAGCAATGTGAGCCTTGATGTCCTCAATCTTTGACCCAACGTCCTTCAGCAGGTTTACTCTTGTGCAACAATTCAGAAATGACGAGAAATCTCGGGGGATATTCTTGATTAACCAGTTGCCTTGGGGCTTTACTTTGTCGTAAAACGTATCGATGACATCTTCCGCATCATAAGCAGCATCTCTGACTTGAGCAACGAACGTACGTACAGTATCATTTCCTTCTTGTCTTGAATCTGCATCCTTTAGGAAGCTCCGCATCTGCTCTAGCTCTTTCTGCAACAGCTTAACTTGTTTGGGGATCTTGATCAAGTTGTTGGCTTCTTCCCTGAGCATATCATCGAGCCTTTCCAAAAGAAAAGTGACAACGTTCTCAGCCATATTTCGCTTTGCCGATCAAAGCAGTAAAAGCTTAATTAGTTCCTTTTTGTCTCTTTTTCACTGAAGTATTTTGTGTCTACTTCTTTTGGCAGAAAGTAAGTTGAGTTTGTCTCTATTTATACAAGTTCGGTATAGGCTGTTCGCATCAGCCAGTCACAAGTTGATGTTAACGTTGGGTTTAAGTCTTCAATGTAGTCTTCTCACAAAGGAGGTAAGATACATATTCCAACTTTTAACTTACACGGCAAGAATTCGCCAAAGATGAATTTGAACTACATTATTGCTAGCCAATTGTGAAGCTAAGCTCATCCCCTTCCATTTAGCGTAGATAATAATATCAATTATTCAAAAAAAAAAAAATCTTACACGGCAAGAATAAATAATAAAAGGAAAAGTTGATGCTAACTTTTGGTTTACTTCTTCAATGTATTCTTCACACAAAGGAGGCAAGATACATATTCCAACTTTAACTTACACGGCAAGAATAAATGATAAAATGAAAACTAATAAAAATGGCATCAAATATTTACATTTTAATAAAAAATCACACACTAACTTTATTTAATGATAAGGACAAAAGAAGAAAAAAAAAAAAAAAAAAAAAAACATAAAAACCCAAATTGCGCTGGGCGCTCCCCACTCCCCCCAATCCCCCCCCCCTCCCTCTTTCCACACTCCATTTTTTTTTCCCATTATCAGCTATATTAATAGATCTCTTTTTTACTTTTTTTTTTCTTCTTAGAATAAGAAAAGTACTTTAAATTGAATTACATTTTTCAGTTTTATTTTTGTGGTGTTGTTTCCCAATAGTAGTCATGATGATGAAAAAAATTTCAATGTGTCAGGTACATAAGATGGTACATCACATTGTCTCTATAAAAGGTGTCAGTTAAAAAATTAATAACATAAAAAGTAAAATTTTCCATCACTTACATAATAACACATGGTATACCATTTGTGTTACGAGCACAAGGAAAAATTTCTTCAAGATGACACCCAAGCTCAAGAAATTGGATGAAGAGCTACAGTTATTATTGTAGGTATGTAAAAACTGTGAGGAAATTTTAATTTGGTAATTGAAAACAACTTTTTAAATATAATTACTGAGAACATAATCTTCTCAAGGTTTTGATCTAAAGGGTCACTTCTGGGTTCATCATTTTTAACGCAATGGGTGTTTTTACAGGACAAAAAAGGGTCTAAGTTTCAAACCTTATGAAACTGAACCAAGAATTAAATACTATTTATAAAACTTGACCAAAAAGTAAACTCCATTCATGAAACTAGACCAATAAGTAGACATTATTTATAAAATTTGATTAATACGTAGACACTATTTATGAGACAAAAACAAGAATTAGGCATTATTTCCAAAACTAAACCAATATGTGGAAACTATTTATGAAACTGGTTTATACATTATTTATGAAATTCGAGTAAGAACTAGACAATATTTATGAAACATGACCAAGAAATAAGCACTATTTATGAAAGTGGACAAATAACTAAACACTATTTTATGAAATTGTACCAAGAAAGAGGCAATATTTATGAAACTGGACCCACTAACTAGGCATTCTTTATGAAACATGATTAAGAACTATATACTATTTATGAAAGTGGACAACAAACTAGGCACTATTTATGAAATTTGACCTATAAATAGTATAGTGCTGTTCAATTTCATAAATTATACAATTTCATAAATAGCGTTCAATTTTATAAATAGTGTTTAGTTTCATAAACTGTGTACAAGACCCGCACATCAATCTTTTTTTTTTTTTTTTTTTTTCCAAATTGTGTCATTTTCATTAAAATTTAAGTTCTTTTGTCATTTTTATTAAAATTTAAAGGGTTTTCATTAAACTTTAATTCTTTTTCATTAAATAAAGTTATAGCATGGTTTTTGGTTAAAATAAACTTAGCCCAAGTCCTTTTCATAAAAGTTCCCAATAATAAATCCAAACCTAATTATAAGGAAACCAATAGGAAAATCCCGCTAATTACACCAAAGGTCAAGTTATGCCAACAACTCACGCCAACACTCGTCGGCACCTTAAGTTGGTACATAAATGTTGCTGATGTCCAACTTGTCAAGTGAGTTGTAGAATGCTTGACTTGCACCTGCCTTGGTTAAAACATTTGTTAGTTGGTCTTCTAGTCTCACGAATGGAAATTGAATGATATTCACGTCTACCTTCTCCTTAATAAAATATCTATCCACTTCAACATGTTTGGTTCAATTATGCTGAATTGGATTATGTGAAATATCAATGGCAACCCTGTTATCACAAAACAAATTTGTTGCAGGCATCAGCTAGATACCCAAGTTCTATAAGCAACCACCAAAGCCACAATAACTTACACAATCCTTTTGCCATACCTGTATACTCCGCTTTTGCACTTGACAGAGCTACCACATTCTGTTTCTTACTCTACCATGTTATCAAATTGCCTCCCACAAACGTAAGGTATGCAGAAGTAGATCACCTATCAATGATATTTCCAACCCAATCTACATCAGTATAACCATCCACTTTCAGGTCTCCATTCTTAGAAAACACGATACCTTTACCTGGTGCTGATTTCAAGTAATGAAGTATCCTATCAACTGCACTCATGTGGTCTATACTCTGAAAGTGTATAAACTGGTTGACAATACTCACCATAAATGTAATGTCTGCTCTGGTATGATACAAGCAGATTAACCGTCCAACCAACCTCTAGTAACGGTCTTTGTTGGAGTTTGATCAGGATACATGACAATGTGATGATTTTAGATATTGGGGTGTCGACAAGTTTACAATCAAGCATCCTTGTTTCTGCTAACAAGTCCAAAACATATTTATGAAATATAGAAATATGCCCTGTCTCGATTAAGCCACTTCTATACTAAAAAAATACTTCAGCCTACCAAGATCTTTTATTTCAAACTCGGTTGCCAAGTAATCTTTCAACCTCGAGATTTCTTCCTTGTTATCACCTGTGACAATCATATCATCTACATAAATAATGAGTAATGCTAGCTTACCCATTGTGGACCATGATTTTCTAGGGCTAGAGTAAGGCTGATTGGAATACGTCTACCTCAGAAATCCGATCATGGAATCAACAACTCCTAGTAGAGCTGGATTAATCGAGTAGTGGTGCCACCATCATCCTGTTTCGGGGCAACAAGCGAAGTCTAAGTGAATTCATCGAAGAATGTTTTTAGGTCTAAGTCGAATTGATACTGGGAAAGAGTGGCATAAACTAGAAGACCATATGGAGAAGTGCCGAGTATGGCCGTTATGTCCAGCACAGTTAGACCAAGGGGGCCGAGGGGTAGTACCATGGTGTTGGTGGCCGAACACTAGAGACTTAGAGCTGTCGTTAGAAGTTCTCGATCCATGTTGATCTCGATGGTCGAGAACTTGATGGCGTTGAAAATGCCAAGAGTTTTTCATTCCTCGCCGAAGAATTTTTCCATTTGGTTAACCCAAGCAGCCCAGGTTGCAGGAGTTGAGGGCCAAGCTTCTTAGGGGTCGGTCGATTCCTACTTCGACCAATCATACCCTTAGAATAAGGGTTTTAGGTAGTGAGCCTTCAATATTTCGATGATGGTTTATGAGACATTGTATTCAAAAAGTGGTCCCAGAATTTGATGAGAGGCGACTGAATCTCCCTCGGATTGGAGAGTCTTAATGGAATTCTGATCAATAAAGTCATAACATTTATTGCATTCCTTGACAAGCTTGGTAATGAAAGTGTTGGTGGCCATTGAAACAGGAGTTTAGAGGTTTTCGGGGTTTCAAAATTTGGTTTTTCTTTCTGGGTTGAGAGCAAAATAACAAAAGTTTCTGGAGGTTTAGAAGCGTAAAGATTCAAATGAGGTTGGACGAAGTATTTATAGGCAATTGGGGAAGAAGATCAACGGTTTTGAATTCAAGAGATGAGGGGTAAATCTGATTGAGAAATTTTGCAATCATGACGGATCTTTAAAATCCATGTGAAGAGGCCGAAAAGCACGCGAATCAAGGTTGCACAATTGCATGTCACGACGAGGTTTATGATGAAGAGACATTTCGACGTCTGCACACCTCGAACGTGGGGGGCAACATCATTGAAGTTAGACAGTCATGACGAGAAGCTGCCACATGTCAAGTTTTACAACGTTCACCATGCAAGGTGGGAGATAGTGTTAAATAAATGCATCTGGGTGGATGGAATATTTGAGATTCGCTAGGATTTTTGGTCGACTGAAAGGAGTATGCTAAGGTTTTATTCTTTGTTTAATAATGGATCACTTCTTTAAGATCGAAATTCGGCCAAGTATTATAGGTCGAAGACCTCAGAAGCGAGAGGACAATGTTTGGGCTCGATATAACATTTTGGGCTGAGGTTTAGGCTCGAAATAACATTTTGGGCTGAGCTCGGTTTTTTTTCAACCCAATAAGAAGCATAAGGAATATTGTCATAAGTCAAGCCTAGTGGAGCTTGTTTAAGTCCTTTAAGGAGATGGTTCAATTTAGATAAGGGTAAAATGGTTAAACCCTAGCGTAACGAGGAGTTTTCAGAAGCCAATGATGCTTAGAATCAGGGGATGAAATTGGTTCGTTAAAGAGCTTGGTTCAGAATCTTATAAGGGTTAAGATTGGTCGAGACTAAATCATATTGGGTTGAGGAGTTCTAATGAGTGAAATTCTAATTCGGCCATAGGGGAAATCACTACTATAAATAGAGAGGGGAATGCATCATTCTAGGCCCCTCATCCAATTCAACACACAAATTACCCTGTGCAAAGCTTCTCAACAACCTTGAGATTTTTACTTTTCTTTTTCCCACCAACACATCTTTAGTTTGGATAAACAGCATTGTGAAGGCAACCAATGACATCTTCAGTTTGGATAAACAACACTCAAGCCGTAGATTCAACCGACTAAGGAGCACATTCAGTTTGGATAAACAGCACTGCTTTGAGACTAATTGGTTGTTACCCAAGTCTCTATCAATAAGGATTTTCGAGTCCTTGTTGGAAGAGATCATCTCATCAGCCTTCTTGGCAAAGTGAGGTGTTACCAAGCTCGGCACATTGAAAGCCGAGTTTATTTTATGATTAGATATTCGGAAGTACATTTATCTCTTTTGAATATAATTACCGAGACCGAACCCGGCGCTAACAACTTGTGAACTTCAAAGAAACTAGCAACCTTGTCTTCAGGCTCTAGAACTCAAAAAAACCGAGATGAGTTCCTTCCTCGGCCCCAATCGCAAGACGCAGAAGTCAGCAGTGCACCCAAAGCCACATTAGCATATTTCACTCCCGGCCGAGCTCGGCCGACTAGTTAGCATGCCCTGCACACAAAAAAGTAAAATATTGCTAGCCCATTGTGATGTACTAATTATAAAATAAAAAATAAAAAAATTACACAAAAAAAAAGGTAAATATTAAACACACTGTTTATCACTGTATAGTAAATAGTTAAATATTGACAAAAATACCAATGTCACATTTGATGCATTATTTTGAGCCGCTTTTGAAGTTTTTTGTTTAAGGGACATTTTTGTCCAATTTGTTTTGATGAAGCCCGTGACCCAAAAAACCACTGTTCAAAAGCCATGCCGGCCTTATATATAGATTTTCTATGCACACTGTAAACAATTTAAAATCATTAACTTTTGTCACCATATTTTTCATCCGCACATGCTAGACGTAGAACTTCGAGTTTTGACCAATATTACCAAACAACCAATTGACCATTTGAATTGGTCATTGTACATTTACCATCCATACGAAGCACTAATTCACCACTCTTTTCTAAACCAACTGGCTTGAGTACACGTTCAAGTGTCGAAGTGGTAAACACTACAAAAAATATGGGAACTACGCACAATAAATTATCTGTGCCCTAGGTCAAAGAGCACCAACATATGTGCCCATAGAGCAATAGCAACAGTGCAGCAACTATATTTCTATGTGTGCCCTCTGGGCGTAACCTTTGATCAAAGAGCACAATAAGGTATGTTGTGCTAAAAAGTGTAAGCACAAAGTCCTTTTGTGCCCAGTTCTGACAAAGTTAGATGACTGCTGCCACCCATGTTAGCACATTTATTGTTATTGTGCCCAATACGTCAACTATTTAAAAAAAAAAAAAAAAAAATTAAGAACCGAAATCACCAACAAATTGAGATTGAAGCTAAACTAAAAATTATTTTTTCATAAAATTAAAACAGCCCACAACCACAAGCAGCTTAAAGCCAAGTAATTCTTTCCTTGAGAACCTAGATAAATTAGTAAACTAACATTACAAGCAAAAAAGATGTACAAAACAATAAAAGTTTGGAATCATTTAGGTTAAGGTCAAAAGCAGTGATAAATCTCAAAGCTATGACATTAATTTCTAAGAAAGATAGCTAGTGTCGGCAAATACACACAGAAACTACAGATAATACTTGGAAAAAATATATCACAAATGTTCAGAGATGCAGCACATACACTATTCACATATCAAGCTTTAGATCAGTGCAGGTAGATGAGTATACCTTTCTTTCCTCAGATCTATGAACTTTGAGATCTCTACATAGAACCCAGTATTGATAGCCCCTGCTATGATAGCCTCTAAAAAATGACCATGAGTAAGAAATATACCGAGCACTAAAACACATTATCATATTGGATACCACTGAAAAGGATGGAACTATAAATTTAGAGTACCAAGAAGCTCTTAAAACATCATTTACACAGAGCAACAAGAGATGAGCATGCAGTGGCTTCCAAATTTTCAAATTATGATTCTTTATCATTATCTCATGAGTTGTTTGTATATCCTTCCTCCCACAGATTAATTGGTGTAATTCTGCTATGTATACATGCACTTGTTTGTGATTGAAACATAAAGACTTTTGCCTGACACTTTAGTAATATTCTTACATGGATGGCAAGCAATCCTCACACAAATTAGGACCTAAAAATAGAATCCAAAGTCCCAACGATATAATTCTCACTCTTTCAAATGTAAAGAACTAAAGAAAGAAAGATGCAGAATATCTCAAAATATGCCATTTCCTACAACATATAACAAACCCGAATTTAAAGAACTTAGGAGATTAGTAGTTGGTCTGGAGTTTAATTGATAGAACACATAAGTGTAATGGAAAAAAATTATACACCTTGCGATGGGCATCAGAATTAACTATAAGATATAATCAAACTTTACATTAATCTGAAAGTGCAAAGCTTTATATAATACCCAGGCCTGCAAAGGAAAGTAATCCCAAACCATGTAAGCACACATCAAGAAAAACCCAAACTTTCAAAGCTACAAAAAGGTCTACCCAAACTTAAAAGAGATTTGGTACAACTATCAAGCCCCAAACCATTACTGTGGATGTTTATAAATTTAAAATGCAGCCCCTGTTCAATAATTAACACTCAAAATTTAATGTTTCGCATGTTCCAGATCTAATGTAGTATCGAAAAGTTAGTGCAATAGCTTTAATTTGGCAACTCAACATAACAAAGTCAAATATAATTGGGGAAATAAAGATATGCAGAGATGTACTTACACTGAGAGAGCGGAGCAATCCGAGACCTGCACTTACAGATTCAAATCTCCTCTTCTTACAATTAAGATGTTGACTCAGATCCTATTTCCTATAACACCACAAATGACTGAATGAGTACAGATAAAGGGGTTTTGCCCATGGGGTTTGGTCTACGCTACTCATATTGAAGAAAGTAAAATTATCAAGAAGAAATTTGACCCGGTATATATGAGCTAAAAGATTGTGCAATCATCCATGTAAATTTTCTGTATTTGGAAACTCACTCTTCAACTCCAGGTTGTACAGTCAAACTTTCCGACATCAGAAACTCATCCATTGAAATTTTCTGTCAAAAAAAAAAATTAATATTAGCTACTTTCATTCTACTCTACATATGGGAGAGCTAAAAGATTGTAATCATCCAACTAAATTTGAAGCTCAGCATGAGTTAGTTACATGTTTGGATACAAGTGGGAAATAAATGGATATTTATTAATACCTCTCCCATTCGTTAATGTGTTTTACACTTTAACCTTGTATTGTAAGACAAAATAATAAGCTATCAAAGTAACAATTGAAATGAGTTTGCAATTATCTCAGATAAGCAACTATTTCTTTTGTGTAAAAATGATAATTTTCAAGCAGAAAATAATAAAAAAGGTTATGTTGTTTTTAAATCAGCCACGCTCACCCTGGAAAAATATACAGACAGTTCTCTTCATATAGTGATTAACCAAAAGCAGGTTCCTCAATAGCCCTGGAATTATAAATGCTTTCCTATTTTTGTTCCTCATTATACATAACTATATGATCAAAATATCTTTGATTCAAAGACTAACATTTCCTTTTGTGTATATCCTGATTTCCGATGTAATGCTTGACATTAAGCTTTGAAACAATCATTGGCCACAATCCTATAAAACCAGCAAAACTAATCCATGAGCCAAGTAAAAGTAGTTAAATACTAATAATTTAAGTTATGTGTGAAGGACCTAACCAAAGTCTAGACTTGTATCTCAGTGGTAAGATTAGATATTAAATGTTGAGATGCATCTCTAAAACCAAATAATTAGTGGGGAAAAAAAGTGAATCACTTACCGAATGCACTGAGGAGAAGTAGAGTTTCCTGCGGGATAAAATACAAAAAAAATCAAAATTTGTGAAAAAATTATTAAAAAAAAAAAAAATCAAACCCACAAAAAGCAAACATGCAAGCAGAGTTCCTGGGGATTTGCACAGCCTTTCATGTCCTTCCTCCAGCGCCCTGATGCTTGCACGGTCATAGGAACCTCGTCACTAGTCAAGACAACTCGGATCGTCGAGGTGTCAGGCGGAAAAGCCCAGATATGAGAGAAATTAGGAAAGGAAACGAGATGAATTGAATCTGGCGAAGGTAGAGATAGAAAGGGGGTTGGAGTCTTGGAGAAAGAGAGACAGAGGTAAGAGAAAGGAGTCTGAGGGAGGGAGGGAGATATGAGAGAGAGATGGACCGAATCTGGGGGAAGATAGTGTAAGAAGAGGGGTTGCAGAGAGAATGCGGGTTGGAGAGTCTGAGGGAGGTAGAGAGATAAGAGGGAACCCGGGGGCGGCCGGGGGGGGGGGGGGGGGGGTGGTGGTGTTGGTGGGTTAAGGGGAAAGAGAGAAAGTGGGGTGTGGGGCCATAAGTTTATGAAAAATAATAAAGAACAAGTAATTGTGTCAGACGTAAAATACAGGCACAATAATATATTTTAGTTTTTTTTTATCAAGTAATTGTGTCCTCATTTGTGTCCTTAATTTATATACAAAGGCCCATTTTTTTTGTAGTGAGAGTAAATAATTTGGCCCACGACAATGCCGCACGATAATCTTTCATCACCCATCTATGAAGCGAAGAATTGTATTCTTCTACATCCTTTTGAACTTCAATAAGAGTAAGTACTTGGTGGAGTATTGCAGAAAAACCTTTTTCTCAAATCTTCGGATACCATTCATCTCGCTAAATAGTTCACTAGACACATCAAATGACAGGATGAAGCAATTTCCATTCTGGCAGAACTGAACCCAATGCAAGCATTATTGACAAAAATCGAACTATAAAAAGAAGAAAATAATCCAAAGCTTGGATGAACATCATCCCACTAAGACTCTTCCAAAGGCCTGGATAATGAACAAATTTCAACTCGACATGATCTTATGTGCCTCGGAATATAACTCACACCTCTAAACATCTTGAAGTCATTGGTACACATCATAAGCAAAGGCATAATTTACTTCATGATCACCAGGATCCCTAATCGAGGTAACACTAGGGGTTAGGCAAAACCATAATCTTTCTTATATAAGGGTTCCAAATAACTATGGTGAAGCATGTGAAGTCAACATTGTTAGTGTTAGAGTAAATGTAGAAATATAGAGAATAATCTGAATGATGACTTTGAGGTACGACTTAAATCGTTTCCTTAAATTGTTATTTGCCCTCACTCGAATGAGTTTGCTAAAGGGTTCTTGGCAAATCACTTCCATGATACAACAAAATATGGATTCGATTAGCAAAACCGAATTATATTCCCTTAGAAATAACTATAAAGAAATTGTATGAATGTGATAGAGAAAGAAGAGAGTAAGGAATGTAGAAACAAATTTCTGAAATTGTGTGTGAAACATTATGCCACAATAGGTATTTATAGGCATTAAAGCATCTGTTCATTGAGTCCTTTCATTTTAGTTGAAGATATACAATCCTTCTTAATAGTGTTGACCCAAAAGACATGTCTTTTATTTAGAATTTTCAGAAAATAAATTTGACTAATTACAACTTTGTATTCTACTCATACAATTTGAGTAAGCATCATGTCTTTCAACTAAAAATTGTAACCATTCAACAAGATATACAAAAGGTTGAATGAAACCCAACATTTTGTAAAGGTTGCCGATTGTAACTTGCTGCGCTCTGCATCACCACACACATGCTGCACAATGCAGCACCAAATCATATATATATATATATATAGATATATATATTCTTGAAATATTCAACAATCCTTTCCTATTTTAAGAATATATAATAAATGGTATTACAATACTTCTCTCTTTTTAATTAATCACAAGCATACCGATATAATCATGCTTACAATAATGGTGTCTTTCGAATTAAACTTTTAATTAGTGTAAGTAATTCAAAGTTATAACGAATGCGATGGTGACCTAAGTTTAAACCAACCATTCTTATACTAAAACCAGAACCACTACACACATGACTATGTTTTATTTCCTTAAAGAAATTTCTGAACTAATTAAGCATATTATGGCCTTATGCTTCATTCTGGTTTCATGAACATTTATGAGAGAAAACCCAACTCTTGGTAGAAGCAGCACCACTTCTTATGTTCATATAGGTGAGGTTTCTTCCCATGTCCCTGCTACTACAGACATAACTACAAATAACCTCATTAAGAGATAAAATTCATCCTCCTAAACGTAGCAGTCTTGCACTGATCATTCTGGAATGAGCTATATATTAATTTTCAGTGCTTTCACAACCACTTATCAATAGCTTGTTATTACCCATTAAACTTTTAAACTAGTGATGTTCCAGATAAAGTCGGGTTACCATTATTGGTGGCTAATTTTCAGTAAAGGGTTTTAGCCCAATTCCACTAGATGTACTAACTACCAAAGTTCTTGAAAGTGCTTTTGTTAACAGATCCGCCAAGTTATTACTTGATTTAACATAAACAATATTAATAACTCCATTAGTTATTAATTGCTTGACATATTCACGTCTCAAGTTAATATGTCTAGACTTTCCTTTGTATATCTTATTGTATGCTCTAGACAAAGTAGCATCACTATCATAGTATAAAGAAATAGATGGCATTGGTTATGGCCATAACTCTATTTCCAATAACAAATTTCTAATACATTCCGCTTCTTTACTTGATGGCGCTAATGCTATAAATTCAGATTCATAGTTGAATGTGCTATACGTGTTTGCTTCTTTGAAGCCCAAGAAATTGCTCCTTCAGCAATTGTAAAAATCCACCCTTATGTAGACTTATTATCATTAGCTCTTGTTATCCAACTTGCATCCGAATATCCTTCAAGTACTTCTGGAAACTCATAGTAAGTTAAACTTAGGTTAATAGTTCTTTTAAGATAACTAAAAATTCTATTTATTGCTTTCCAATGTGCAGTACCTGGATAACTAGTGTATCTAGAAAGTTTGCTTACTACAAATGCGATATCTGGCCTGGTACAATGCATGGTATACATTAAACTTTCGATTACACTAGCACACTCAAGATGTGCAACATACCTACATAATGGGTATTTGCTTCTTTTATTTGTAGATGCTTAAACTTAAGAAGCAATTTTTTCTATATAATGTGACAGACACAAGGCGTAACCCCTATTATGCTTATTTACTTTAATTCCCAAGATAGTATCTACTTCATTCAAGTCCTTCATTTTGAATTTTGAGTTTAGATACTTTTTAGTTTCAGATACACCTTTCATGTTTGTACCAAAAATTAGCAAGTTGTCGACAGATAAACATATAACAACACCATAATCATTTGTGAATTTAGAGTATATGCATTTATCAACACTATTATGTCATTGTTTTGGTGCTTGCTTCAATCCATATAACGACTTGACTAATTTACAAACTTTCTTTTCATTACCAGGGAGAACAAACCCTTCTGGTTGTTCCATATAGACTTCTTCATCTAAATCACCATTTAAAAATACCGTTTTTACATCCATTTGATGCACATGCAAATTATATAACGAAGCCAATGCAAACAATATTCTAATTGATGTTATCCTAGCTACTGGTGCATATGTATCGAAATAGTCTATTCCCTTTTTCTGCTTAAAACCCTTGGCAACAGCCTGGCTTTAAATGTCTGAATATACCCGTCTGTATCGTATTTTCTTCTAAACACCCACTTACAACCTATTGCTTTTGATCCTTCTACTAAAACCCATGTTTGATTAGATCATCTATAGCTTCTTTCCAAAAGGCTTCATCTCTTGAAGTCAATGCTTCGCTTAGACTTTTAAGATCATCCTAAACATCCAACAATATGAGTATTTTTTTGAGAACCTTCTTTCTATTTCCTTCGACTAAAAATACAATAGATTGAGACGAAATAAAATCAGAGCCTAGAGTATTTCCTTTTCTTACCCTTTGTCTTGTCCTTGGTTCATTAGCAGTTTTAGACTGTTTTCTTTTTTCACCTTGAGAATGACTAGTAACCGAATTAGAGGAAGGTGTTTGATCATTCTGTTTTTTAGGCATTAAGTAGTCGTTATAAAGTTTATTTTCTATAAATTCGACATCTCTAGGCTCAACTACTGTATTTGAGTCTAAATTAAGCAACCTATTAGCATTAATCATCATAGATTTAATTATTTAAGTGAGTGTCCTATTTTTTCTTTCTGCCAAACCATTTTGTTGTGGTGTATAAAGTGTAGTTCTTTGATGTGTAACACCATGCTCTTCACAAAAAAATATCAAATTCATGTGAAAAATATTCACCACCTCTATCACTATGAAGCTTCATTTTTGGTTTTCAACTTCAGCTTTATAGTGCTTAAACCACTCAAAAGCTTCATCTTTATTAGACAATAAATAAACATAAGTTAACTTAGAACAATCATCTATAAATGTGATAAATTATCTTTTTCCTCCTCTTATTAAAATACCATTGAATTCACATATGTCAGAATGTATTAAGTCTAATAAATTTGTATTTCTTTTAGTAGTTGGAAAAGGTTTCTTAGTCATTTTTGCTTGAATACATCATTCACATTTATCATTATAATCATCATTGCAAGCAATTAAACCTAGTGTGCGCATGTATTTTAAAGATCTAAAATTTATATGTGCTAAACGTAAATGTCATAAATGAGAGGAAGATTCAACAATATAAGCAAAAGAATTCACTTTATTATTAATACTTAGTTTGAACATCCCATCACAAGAATACCCCTTCCCAACAGACATCCCATTTTTCGACATTATTAACTTGTCGGACTTAAGAATAGTCTTTATATCGTTCTTACATAATAAATTTGCAAACACAAGATTCTTTCTAATTTCTGGAACATGCAGTACATTTAGCAATGTCAATTTCTTCCCAGAAGTATACTCAAGTTCAACGGTTCATTTTTCTAGAACTTTGGCGGAATGATGAGTCCACATTAAAACTTCTTGATTGTCCGTTGATGCTTCATATGTCTTGAATTGTGCCTTGTCATTGCACACACGTATAGTAGCCCTTGAGTCGAGCCACCAATCAGAGGATTTTATTGCCACTGCCATATTCAATTCGGTAATCATGCCAATATGCCTCATTGATACCATTGCAACAAGGTTATCAATTCCAAGGTTTTCCACCATATTTGGCTATTGGTCTTGTTGGCATATTCCTCACTTACTTTTATGTGTCTACAATTACGAATGTAATGGCCTTTATCAGACACCATTTGCATTTTTTTTATTGTTGTTGGAATTGGTCTTCTTAAAGTTCATTTGTCAATTTTGACTTTGAAGATCTTTTTATATTTGTTACCTTCGACAATGTTAACTTTAGAGGAATCTTGATTTGCAAAATTCTTATCACGATTTTGAGTTTCCTCTTCAATTTGAATACCCTTTTTCAAATCCTCCAAACTAATATCTTCCACCATGTGTAGAAGTTTCTTTCTATAATTATTCCATGTTTGGGGTAATTTTACCATAATAGCCCCAACTATCATAGGATCCGGAATAACTATTTTAAGTTCACGAAGCTCTGAGACCAAGACCAATAATTCATGAACTTGGTCTAGGATGACTTTGTTATCAAACATAGTGAGTTCATAATATTTGAACATTAAAAATTTATCGGTACCTCTTTTCTCCGTTGTTTACTTGTGTTCAAGTGCTTCCCAAATTTCTTTGGAGATTGAATATGTGCGTACATGTCATATAAGTAATCAGATAATGTGCCTAAGATGTGTCCTCGACATACCAATTCATCTTTTTCATGCTTCTTTCGATCGACAACTATTTTGTCCAAGTCTTTGTCACTTCGTTCACAAATAGGCTCCAATTTCGGATCCAACATATATGACATTTAGAACAGTAAGCATGAAACGCATCTTGTCCTTCCATTGGGTGAAATTTAATCTTCAAAGCCATGTTATCAGATTTGTTCTCCATGACGAAAATAACACTTTAAGATTGTTAGAGTAAATGTAGAAATATAGAGAGTAATCTGAATGATGACTTTGAGATACGACTTGAATCGTTTCCTTAAAGTTTTATTTGGTCCCACTTGAATGAGTTTACTAAAGGGTTTTTGGCAAATCACTTCCAGGATACAACAAAATATGGATTCGATTAGCAAAACCGAATTATATTCCCTTAAAAATAACTAGAAAGAAATTGTATGAATGTGATGGAGAAAGAAGAGAGCAAGGAATGTAGAAATAAATTTATGAAATTGTGTGTGACACATTATGTAACAATAGGTATTTATAGGCATTAAAGCATCTGTTCATCGAGTCCCTTCATTTTAGTTGAAGATATAGAACTTTTCTTAATAGTGTTGACCCAAAAGACATGTCTTCTATTTAGAATTTTCAGAAAATAAATTTGACTAATTACATCTTTTTCTTCTACTCATACAATTTGAGTAAGTATCATGTCTTTTAACTAAAAATTGTAACCATTCAACAAGATATACAAAAGGTTGAATGAAACCCAACCTTTTGTAAAGGTTGCCGACTGTAACTTTCTGTGCGCTACAACACCACACACATGCTACACAATGCAGCACCAAATCATATATATATTCTTGAAACATTCAACAATTAGGAGCAACAAGGCATATGCGTTACAAGTTCCGATCACATCCGCATCCCGATCCAAATCTATTATGTCTCCATACATAACACCTCAATGGATTCTTAAGCTTTGCAAACTCGTCCAATGCAGCATTACCTCAACGCAATTTGCAAGTATGTACGTTTTCTCTCGTCGGGTTTGAACGGTTCAGAAACCTATACTAGAACGAGTTCAACATCATCTTTTCGTTTGTGAACGAAAGTAGAGCTTTTGGTCATACAATTCCATGATTTGATGGGCAACTTCAAGAAGATTTTGTGTACAATTTCTTCGGGAAGGAGGAGGACTTATGGTGGCAGCCTTCTTGCGTACGAATTTTCCCTAATTTTCAATGGAAGAAAGTATATCTAGTCCAAACCCTATTCTCCTTCTACCAAAAAAAACCCTAATCTTGTTTTCTCGCTGGGAATTCAGAATTCTCCTTTTTTTGGCTAGGAAACTACAATAACGAGGAAATACCAGCAATATTTATTCTTCTTTAGCTGATTAATAAGTGAAATTTATGACCTCGTAGTCCGCACAGATGCCTATTTTTCATTCATCCTTCGCATTATTAGACTAGACAGAAGGATTAATTTCGAACTGGACATTGTACATTGCGAGACATGGTGTAATATTGTTAACTTTAAAAATAAATTGAGATTTCTTTATTTAATTAATGGTAATGATAGGAAGACCAAAATTTTAAATTAAATTTTGTAAACCAAATGATGTGATTATTGATAATTAGATTATTACTTAAATATTGATTAACGTGCTTATTTTCTACTCATGACACATAATTTAGTTTGCAAATTTGGTCTCTCTTTAATTAATTAATAGATAAATGTTAAGGAGACTCTCAAAAGTGGGACTCTTCCTGGAACACAGATCCTCTCTGGATCTGTGCAACTGGAGCCTAGAGATCAATGGATCCGGCTCATTGAAATTTGATTCAACAGCTACGGATTAGATAAACTAATTTTTGTTATACAATATATTTCGATGTACTTTGTCTTATTCAATATATTTCGATGTACTTTGTCTTCTTCATTTAGCTACATTAAATTCATTATAATATATTTTGGTGCATACATTTAGGTACACATATTTCGGTACATACATTTCGATACAAACATTTAGGTACATTAATTCAATATAATACATTTCTGTACATACATTTTGGTGCTTACATTTTGGTACACATATTTAGGTACATTAATTTAATATAATACATTTCAGTGCATATATTTCAGTACATACATTTCGGTACTAACATTTAAATACATTAGTTTAATATAATACATTTCGATACATACATTTAGGTATATTAATTGAGTCTTTCAAGTTTGAAGAATGTAAAAAAAAAAAATTAATAAATTAAAAAAAAAAACTTCTTTTGGTCAAAAAATAAATTAAAATTTGTATATTAATATATTTAATCTAACACCATGTTTGGTCAAAAAATAAATTAAAATTTGCATTAAATAAAATGCACATTAATTATTTTAAATTAAGGACACATCAAGGGACTATAATCAATATATAATCTAACACCATGTTTATTTTAAATTTCAATCTTCTTGAAGGATTAAAGTTTTAAAAACCCCATAAATATAGGAAATCTATAAGGGAAGGGATCCCCATTTTTTTTTTCTTCATAAAAATGGGGAGTAGTTGTGGGGATCCACACTACATCAAACTTTAACAATCCGAACCGTCTATTTTTCAAGTTGCACCTCATAGATAATCCTTGTAAAATATTAGCCAAATCGGAAATGTTTAAGAGGGGAAGGGCGGAGAATTCGAAACTATTACGATAATTTAAAGTCCGGATGAACATCATTAAGAGTAAGAATCTTTCATGAATGCATGGGTAGAAATCCAATACCATATCCACTAAGATATTGGACTATATGTATTACAAAAACATAAATTGAATTGACAAATGTCTTCAAATCTAAGTAAATTATAAAGACGGTAATCAACTTTGTAAGGTCATCATAAACTCAACTATATCACTAGATGAAGAGTTTATAGATGATCTTGTATTAGCAATACCTTAGGTATTATAACTTGTGAGTTGCGACCCACCGAAAAATAAGGGCCTATTTGGTATCCCATTTGAAATTTTTATCATTTTTCAAAACTTGATTGGTTTACGATTTAAAATTTTTAAATCTTATAACTTAAACTAGACAAAGAGATCTAAAAAGAGGGAATCGCAGGAGAGGGAGAAAGATGAGAGAGGAGGAAAGAAAGTAAGAGATGATTGAAGGAAAGAGAAAGAAGAGAGAGGATCGGACGAGATAGAGAAGAAGAGGAGTGAGAGAATGAAAAGAGCGAATTGGAAAAGAGATGAAAAAGGTTAAAAAAATTGAGGAGAGAGAAAGAAGAAAAGAGAGAGATAGATTTGGAGTAAGACTAAGAGGGGAGGAGGGAGAGAAAAGAAATGAGTGAGTTTAAGTTTAAAAACTCTAAAAACTCACTTTTTATATTTTTAGAGAATAAACTATATTTTTTAGTTAGTCTTAAGTTCATTTTTTAAAAATAGTCCTATCAAACAAGTTTTTAAGGCTTAAAACTTGAAAATTGTTTTTAAGTATAAAAACTTGGATTCAAGTACAATACCAAACAGCCCTAAAAGATTTGAACCGGAGATTATGGATTATTAGAGCACAGTGCAAACTTTGAGAATCAATTAGAGATTGTACTAAATTACTAATTGATAAACCTTGCATTCAGAGATGAATTTGTCTTAAAACTTAAAAGAGTAGTACTAAGTGATGCTTACATTGTTACCAGTGCCACACGAATTCCTGTGTTTATATAATAATTCTGGCCATTGCTGCCTGTTTGCTCAAAGACTATTAGTTAGCCAACAGCTACATTATTTAAAATTTTGAAACCAAATCCTTTAATTTGTAGTAAAAAAGCGAGAGAATCAAAGATGAATGTGACAATGGCCTTCATAAGAGGGCTCTTTTATCAAAACTAAGAACAGCCCATTTCACTGAGTTTTTGAGGAAAACAATGCAACACACATGGTGTAGGTGCTCATGACTAATCTAACTATGAGGCCTACTCAATTCAATTGCACTTAAAATATGTAGCCAAGAACAGAACCCCGAGGTGAAGGTGGTGGAGCTGGTCTGCCTCAATTCTTTAATCTCTCTCTCTCTCTCTCTCTCTCTCTCTCTCTCCTTCCTTTTTCTTGCTTGACTGCAAAGGATGCATGCATATATTATATAGTAATGTAGACTAATTGCACTAGGCAACTAGTAGAGTTTAGGAAAAGAATCAAGAAAAGAGAGAGACCCAATGCAAAACCAAGAGTTGTGGTTAGGGTTTTGAGGCAAACTTTGCCAATGCCAATGCTGAGCAGCATGCACTCCTCTCTCCTCTCCTACAACCACCACCAAATGCCGAGGCAATCCCTCACCACTCGCTGCTACCACCACCACCACCACCACTTGCTCTCTCCTCTCCTCGTCTTCCTCTTGCTATCCACACTTCTACCGCTTTCAGCTACAAACATTGAGGTTGTCACGCTACATTCATGGCTTCAAACCTCTACCTTGCCCCCGCCGTCCTCATCGGATTTCTCCAACTGGAACCCTAAAGACCCCAACCCTTGTAGCTGGTCCTACATAACCTGTTCTCCTCAAAACTTTGTCACCGAAATCAATATCCAATCCCTTGAGCTAGCCCTTCCCCTTCCTTCCAATCTCTCCTCCCTTGCCTCTCTCCAAAAGCTCATCATTTCTGGTGCTAACCTAACCGGGACACTCTCACCCGATATCGGATACTGCAATGCACTTACTGTCATTGATGTTAGCTCAAACAGTCTTGTGGGAGAGATTCCTTCAACCATTGGAAAGCTGCAAAATCTTCAGGACTTGATTTTAAATTCTAACCAACTCACTGGGCAGATACCAGAAGAGCTTGGAGATTGCACCAGCCTGAAGAATCTCCACGTATTTGACAACTATCTCTCCGGGAGTATTCCTGCCGAGCTTGGCAAACTAGTAAACTTGGAAGTTATTCGTGCCGGTGGGAACAAAGACATTTCGGGAAAAATCCCCGATGAGCTTGGAAACTGCAAGAACTTGCAGGTGCTTGGCCTTGCTGATACTAAAGTTTCCGGCTCCTTACCTGCTTCATTAGGTAAACTACGCATGCTGCAAACTCTGTCTGTTTATACCACAATGATTTCGGGTGAGATTCCGCCGGAGATTGGCAACTGTTCGGAGCTTGTGAACTTGTTTTTGTACGAGAATGATCTGTCCGGTTCGCTACCATCAGAGTTAGGTAAGCTTCAGAAATTGGAGAAGATGTTACTGTGGCAAAACAATCTGGATGGTATTATTCCTGAGGAAATTGGTAACTGCAGAAGCTTGATGACCATAGATCTCTCTTTGAATTCTGTCTCTGGAAGCATACCACAATCATTCGGGAACCTCTCGAATCTCCAAGAGCTTATGCTTAGCAACAATAACATTTCTGGTTCAATCCCATCAGTTCTTTCCAATGCTACAAAACTCTTGCAACTTCAGCTCGACACTAATCAGATTTCGGGCTTAATCCCAACTCAGTTTGGAATGTTGCCAGAGCTGACAGTGTTTTTCGCTTGGCAGAACAAACTCGAAGGCAGCATTCCATCCGAATTGGCTAGCTGTAAGAGCCTTCAGGCTCTTGATCTCTCACACAATGCTCTCACCGGTAGCTTACCTCCTGGCCTATTTCAGCTCCAAAATTTAACCAAGCTTCTATTGATTTCTAATGAACTTTCCGGTTCAATACCTTCTGATATTGGAAATTGCAGCTCTCTTATCCGTCTCCGCCTTGTAAACAACAGAATCAGTGGAGAGATCCCAAAAGAAATTGGGTTTCTCGACAACCTTAGCTTCCTTGATCTGTCCGAAAACAATCTTGTTGGTCCGCTGCCTGATGAAATTGGAAAATGCAGTTCACTGCAGCTGCTGAACTTAAGTAACAATACCCTTGGAGGTACATTGCCTAGCCTTTTCTCTTCCCTCACACGGCTTGAGGTACTGGATGTCTCTGTGAATCAAATTTTGGGTCAGATTCCCGAGAGTTATGGCAAGCTTGCTTCACTTAACCGGCTCATCCTCAGCGGGAACTCCCTCTCTGGACTGATCCCCTCTTCCCTTGGTCATTGTTCAAGCCTTCAGCTACTTGATCTTAGCAGCAACAAGCTCAGTGGCGCAATCCCCGAGGACTTGTTTGAGATTGAAGCTCTTGACATTGCTCTAAACCTGAGTTTCAATGCCCTATCCGGTGTAATCCCACGGCAGATCTCTGCTCTGAACAAGCTGTCCATACTAGACCTTTCACACAACAAGCTTGAAGGTGACTTGTTGGTGTTATCCGGGCTTGCAAATCTTGTTTCCTTGAACATCTCATATAACAATTTTACCGGCTATCTCCCCGATGAAAAGCTCTTTCGACAGTTGTCACCAACAGACCTGGCAGGAAACAAAGGGTTGTGCTCTAGAGGCCATGACCAATGTTTCATCAGCAATGGGACCCCAATGAGCATGACAAATAGTGGCCGTTTCAGGAGGTCATGGAGGCTTAAGTTAGCCATTGGATTGTTGATTGCCTTGACCATTGCCTTAGCAATTTTCGGGGCTGTTGCAGTGTATCGAACGCGAAAGATGATGGGATACGAAAACGATTCTGAGATGGGAGGGGACTCGTGGCCTTGGCAGTTTACTCCCTTCCAGAAGGTAAATTTTTCGGTGGATCAAGTACTAAAATGTTTGGTGGAAACCAATGTAATAGGAAAGGGATGTTCAGGAGTTGTTTACCGGGCGGAAATGGAGAACGAGGACATTGCAGTAAAGAAGCTCTGGCCAACAAAGATCGCTACTAGATATGACTGTCAACGTGACAGGTTTGGAATCAATGCAGGCGTTCGTGATTCCTTTTCAGCTGAGGTGAAGACCCTCGGCTCAATTCGCCACAAGAACATTGTTAGGTTCTTGGGTTGCTGTTGGAATCGAAACACGAGACTGCTAATGTATGAGTACATGTCGAATGGGAGCTTGGGCGGTTTACTTCACGAAAGAAGTGGTAACTGCTTGGAATGGGAATTGAGATATCGGATTGTGCTGGGAGCGGCACAAGGCTTGGCCTACTTGCATCACGATTGCGTTCCTCCGATTGTTCACAGGGACATCAAGGCCAATAACATCCTCATTGGTCCGGACTTTGAGCCCTGCATTGCTGATTTCGGGCTTGCCAAGCTTGTTGACGAAGGAGATTTTGCTCGATCCTCCAACACAGTTGCTGGTTCTTATGGCTACATTGCTCCTGGTTAGTACAAATCATACATTATTTCATCACAATCAGAAACCTCCTTGCATACTCTCAATTTCTATATATAAACAAAGTGATTATAAACTGCATTGACTATGTCTAGAAAATCATTAACTGTATGACAGACCAAAAACCAAACGCCCTTGTGCCACATCAGCTAAGTTAACAATTTTCTTGACTCGGTTGACGGGAATGGGGTAACGTGAAACATGAAATGAATGAACATGAGCCAAAGTCGCACAGTTGCAAAAAGTTATATTTTCATCAAAGCACAGGGGCATATAAACTTCAAACCATCACAAAAATGTTCATTCATAGCAAGAAACAATATTCTCAGCTAAATGTACCCTTTTCCTGTGATTTACAGAATATGGATACATGATGAAGATAACAGAGAAAAGTGACGTATACAGCTACGGTGTAGTTGTGTTAGAAGTACTAACAGGGAAACAACCGATTGATCCAACCATACCAGACGGGTTGCACATTGTAGATTGGGTTAGGCAGAAAAGAGGGGGAGTTGAAGTCCTCGATCAAAGCCTACTTGCCAGGCCAGAGTCGGAAATTGAAGAAATGCTGCAGACTCTAGGTGTGGCGTTGCTCTGCATAAACTCAAACCCAGATGACAGACCAACCATGAAAGACGTAGCGGCAATGCTCAAAGAAATAAGGCAGGAGAGGGAGGAGTGCATGAAAGCTAACATGCTTCGAAACGGATCTTCTGAAAATGGTGGACAAGAAATTAACATAACTTGCAGTGGAGGAAGCTCATCGGCTATGGCGGTGCAGCAACATTCGTACCCTTCGAGTACCAGCGCAAGTTTCTCAGCATCCTCATTGCTAAACACTTCTCCTTCTCCTAATGTCCGAAAAAGTTCCAAATAATTAATCATCAAATAAGAAGTTGTTTCAGACTTCAGCTAGGAAATTTGTTTTCTGCTTTAAGTTTGGTTACAAATCTCAGGTTTTCTTGTGTAAAAGGGACAAATTGTTTAACAACCAGGAGTAGCAAAAATTTACTTTTTAGTCTTCTTTATAGTGATATCCTTAAAGTTCGGTTGCATAATTTCAAGTGGCATGGAACCATTTAGAATGTGAAAATTGAAAGCAACCTTTCACCAAAGGTATATAGGGGTATGATGTCCACACACCCTATTTTACTTCTCACACACCTTTTTAATTTTAGGCCGTCGGATCGGATGAATTGAAGAAGATTAATAGACATAAATTATCAAGAGGTGTGTGAGAAATAAAATGGGGTGTGTGGATAACACATCCCATTATATACTCAACTAATTGCATGTTTAATTGCCTAACATGAGTGTTGTAAATTTCTAATTATTATGAATTTTGATTGTCTATGCGTTTATTAACACATAATATATTTTCATTAGGTTATTTAGTCAAAAATTAATATAAATTTTACTAATTAGTCATATATCAATAACCAATTTTTAAGTTATTTAGTCAAAAATCAATAAAAACTTTACTAATTACGTTATATAAATGACCAATTTTCATTTTGAACTTAATCAATTAGGAATTGTATTACTTAGTACACATGTCAATGAAAAATGCCATATAAACTTTAGGCCCGTACAAATGGTTAGAGAATGACTTACATACCCTTCTCCTTCTCTCTTTTATTTTTTGGTTTTATTTTTATCATTTACCCTTCTCTCTCTCTCTCTCCCTCACTTCACTTTTTTCCCTTCCCTTATTTCCTCCTGCAAGAACTTGACATCCATTAATGGCCACCTAACAAACAATTTAACAAAGAAAATTATTCTTTTTGACATTAGTTAGAAGACGGTGGGGGTTATAGACGACGAAGTTAGATCCGTCGCCGTCCCAAGAGATGACGTCGTCGATTGAGGGATCGTTAACGAGCTGACACGTCTTGGTCAGAAACAACGTCCGTAAAGCTCGCTATGACGACTCGCCGAATTTGGACTCGTCATTCGGCTCCACCGAAGTCGAAGCCATTACGGAAGCAGTGCATGAACAAAATTAATTGAGACACAAAACAATTGAAATCGAATTTGGAAGATGGTGAGAGGAAACTGGAGAGCTGGGGAACTGATCAAGGTGAGATTGTTGGGACACTTGCAAGATCAGTTCATGGCAAAGAAGGGTTAAAGGTTAATTTGCAAATTTTGTTGCGGATTCCGACACTACATTGCAATGTCTATTTTGTGATTCTGTCTTTATGTGGATTCAGACTATTCATTGCAGTGTAAATTGTTGAGAAAAATTAAAGTACACAACTCTAACATAAGTGTTGGATAGATAAAATAAGTAAACAAATTACTTGTATTAACTCACAAAATATTACTACACAACAACTTTCAAAGACACACTTTAGAAGTTATAACACTCTCACTTGCTAGAGACACTCTAAAACACTCACACTCCTCACTAATATTACTCACTTAGAAGACCACTCTTTAGTTCTCATTCTTGCTTGGTTGGTTAATACAAATGGGATGGATGCCTTCTCCTTATAGGCATGGATGGAAATTTGGTGAAGCATGGAAACATCAAGCTAGAGATATCTAGATAATTTCATTAACTTCCTTTGTTATAATTATCTACACCAATCTTGCATGTTGGTGAAAACCTCACTATTCTTCTAGACTCTTCCTAGCTCAAGTATTTTAGATTACTTTAGAATATTATTTTATTAGCCAACTTCTTATTCTAGAGTTTTGTAGGAGTTTCTTCACAAATAGATTGGGCTTGATTAAACATGGGCTTATTAGGCTGGTGTTGATCTTCAACATGTTTGATTAGTCACATCTTATGTTGAATTTTTGTTTAATATACTCTTCGAATATCAGAGTTGTTTAATTTGACTATGGTACTGCAGAAAATGTAATGAATAGGCTAAATATAAAAATTCTACATAACATAAACTACAATGCAGTGTCGGAATCCATATTTACCTATTAAAAAAATATAAAAATATGAGAAAGAGAGTGACAGCTGCAATGACATATTTTTTAACTTTTGTTTATTTTAAATGCATTTATGTACTACATACATGATTGACCATTTTATAATTAGTATAAATATTGTTGATATATTGTAACTTTTTACTTCTCACATACCCTTTGTTAATTTCTGTCTTTTAATCTTCTTCAATTCATTTGATCCAACGATCGGAAATTGAGAAGAGTGTGTAGAAAGTAAAAAAGGGTGAGCCTATTTGCCTATACTGCTATACATATTGATCACTTATTTTTCTTCAAAAATTTGTATCGTTCACAAGCTTCTCAATTCTTGTTTCTTTTGCCAAACTTGTTATAGCAACAATCATTTTTTCCTTTTTTTACTTTCATATTTCTTGCACCAATAGCGAAATAAACTAACATATGAGATTTGAGATAAAAGAACCTAATTAAACGGTTGATAAGTGATGAAATCTAACATTGTCAATTCTCATGTCAACTTATAAAGTATTGTGCCAAAAACATGAAGTATCATAGACACCATAGAGAGTCACTTAGGATTTCTCAGAACTCGGAAGGTATACAACCTCCATAGTGAGAGATTCTTTTTTATAGTCCCAAAGATTCCTCAAGCTTTAAAATGAGCTATATTGGTATATTCACCATTTTTGCAGCCCCATATACATCCCCCTCTTTTAGATGCTCTTATAGCAAGTCAATATGGAATCAAGTTTAGATTGAAAAACTTTTGGTGTCTAGAAGAAACTCCATCCCTAAACTTATAGGAACTTTTGGTGTGTAGAAGAAACCCTATCCTTATAGACTATGTTTGATGAATTCATGTGAATAATTTCTTCGATCTTTTCCTAGCGCTTTGGAAATAATATCACTTTTTGGGATAAGATGGACATTTCAATATCAATTAGAGTAGTTTGATCATTAAAAAAATTAATTAATTTACGTTGGTTTCTCATGGTGAAAGAAATGATTCTCCACCCTCTCTTTCTCTCTGCAACCAAACCCTAAAACAAGAAAACATCCAGGTCTGGAAAGACTGAAAAAATCTCCACTCCTTGGGAGAGATTTTCTCTCATTATGAAAGCTTTTCTCACCAGTGTGTGAGTGTGGCCTCCGCCTTGTTCTTATCGCAGCCACTAACACTAGCTATGGCCAGGGTCGGTGGCAGTCCTTCTCTTCTCCTTTCTCTTTTTTCTTTTTCTTTCCTTCTCATTCTCCTTCATCTTCCGTTATCCCTTTCCCAGTGGCTTGTTTGCCACTTAACCCCCTGTGCATCTACTTTCTTTAACTTCAGTCCCTTTTCCAACTTTTCCTGTTTCTTCCTTCCTTCCATTTTCCCCTTTGTTTCCTTTCATCTTCCTTCAACCTTTTCCACCTTATCCATATTTTCCCCTTCTTTCCACCTTTTCCCCTTATTTCTTTCCACCATTTCCCCGTCTTTCTCCCCACTTTCCCCAATCCGAATCAGCTTCATCCTTCTTTGACTCCATAATCTAGATCGACTCCCACTTTTTTTTAACACGATTTATTGTGCTTCTCCCGGAAGGTGAGTAGAGCTTTAGCTTGGTTGTTCACACCACCTCTTCCTTTGGTTTGCCTTTGTTGGCACTGTTGTTAGTGGATTTTTTCCCGCTGGCTTCTTTTGATTTGTGGTGGCTACTGCTGTGGTGCTATGTGGAGGAGTTTGGGGCTTTGTTTTGGGGTCCTGCTGTGGCTCATTCTTCATCCAACTTTGGAGCTCTAGTTATTTTGATTTCAAATGGGTGCAGGGGATGTTCATTCGAAAAACCGGTTGGCGGTAGAGCTAGGATGCTACTAGAGTTTGCTTTGGTGTGACAAGCAGGTTGGCGGCGGAGGTAGGATGCTACTAGGGTTTGCTTTGGTGTTTTTTTTTTTGTTTAGGGCTCAAAACTATGTTTTGGACTGTTGGGTTACCATAGAGGTCCATCTTTTTTGTTTTGTGCTTATTGTATTTGGACATTTTCTTATGTAATCTGTTGTGTTATAAATAAAGTAAACGTTTGACCAAAAAAAAAGGGTTTTAATCACAAATAGTCCTTGAAATTGACCCTCACTATCAAGATGGTCATTGAAATTGAAAATCTATCAATTTAGTCATTGAAATAGGTGTAGCAAATCAATGTGGTTATTCCGTCACAATTCTGTTAAAAATTATGTTAAGTGCTGATGTAGCACATAAATGGGCCCATAAGTCATTTTTTTCTCACAAATGGTCATTGAAATTGACCCACGACATCAAAATGGTCCCTGAAATTGAAAATTGATCAATGTAGTCCCGCAAGTAAGTGTCTGAAATCAATATAGTCATTCCGTCACAATTTTATCAAAAATTCTGTTATGTGCTGATGTGACACATAATGGATCACACAAGTCTAGTTAAATTAAACAAAAATTACAAATAGGCTTAATAATTTAATAGTTAATAAAAAAATTGTCTACTAAAAACCCAGTCCTGCAATCATCTCTGATCCCATCCCACATTTATTTAGCCTCATTCGCTTTCTATTCTCTAAAAAGAATCTCAATACACCCATCTTTACGCACTTCAACACCCTTCACCGAATTGAACATGAATCAATACATCATCGTTAACATATAGGCGATTAATATCCTCACAACCTTACTCTTGGAAAGCTTGTTCGACACTTCCCTGGTGGTTTGGTGATGCAAAGAACGACGAGCCCTGCCTTGAGATAATGAGGTTATAACTGAGGTGTGTCTATTGTTGGTTGAAAACTATTTTAACACCCCTTCTTGGGCCTTGGTTAAGCCTTGTGCGTTTGAGGGATCTCTCTTCGGAGTAGGCCTTACTATAAGAAAAAAAAAATTCCATTGTGCAAAAAGGTATTTAGACAACTTTTTTACTTAATTATTACCACATCGGCACATAACAAATTTTTATTTTTTACTTTTTATTTTTACATAATTGTGGCGGAAGAATCA